CTGGATTGGGTGGGCGTCCTCGGGTTCAGTGCTGGATGCTGGGACTGGTTGTGCCCTAACCAGACTAGAACTGGTGCTGAGCCAGCCTTGGACCCTGCTCTGCTTCCCTCTCCCTTGCTGTTGTCAGGAGCTTGATCACATCAGATGCAGAGCGGTGCATGAGGCCTGGGGCATCTCCTAGGGATTCCACCTCTCTAGAAAGAGGGAGAGAGGTGGTCCTGGGGCTTCAAGAAAGCAATCCCCAGACTCCTTAGGGGCTAGAGGTGAGGAGATGAGGCTTGGAACTTGTCCATTTCTCTTGGAGTTCTTAAAAACCAGACAAGCCTGACCCTTGGAAGGCTACTTCCGACTAGACCTTCCTCAGCAGACCTGACTAGAACTGGTCCCAAGAGCCCTGATCAGATCTTGACTAGCCTTAGCTGTGGGTGAGCTGAGTGGGCACTGTGGCTTGCTACCTCTTCTACCTGTGGCTTGGCCTTCCCCTTCCCTAAGGCCTCTCCAAGCCTGGCTGTTCTCTCTTCCAGATCCCAGTGGTAGCTGTTGCGGCCACTGGTGGTGGGATCCGGGCCATGACTTCCCTGTATGGGCAGCTGGCTGGCCTAAAGGAGCTGGGCCTCTTGGATTGCATCTCCTACATCACAGGGGCCTCGGGCTCCACCTGGTGAGCTTGAGCGTAGGAGCCTGGGGGTGGCTAGTTGGGTTGTGATAGGAGGGTGTGGTGGTAAGGCTCTCTCAGACTCCACCGGCCTCTCTGACCAAACTGGAAGGGGTGGGAGAATGCACGTGCCAGGGAGAAAGGTGCTCAAGGGGACCCTGGAAGGTGTCTTTTGGGCCATTGTCCTAGCAGAGAGAGTGAGCCCAAGGCATGTGATGGGGGTCCTTGAGTGACAATCCCCCTGGCTTTGGCTTTTCCCAGGGCTTTGGCCAACCTCTATGAGGACCCAGAGTGGTCTCAGAAGGACCTGGTAGGGCCCATCGAGTCACTGAAGACGCAGGTGACCAAGAGCAAGCTGGGCGTGGTGGCCCCCAGCCAGCTGTGGCGGTACCGGCAGGAGCTGGCTGAACGTGCACACCTGGGCCACCCACCCTGCTTCACCACCCTGTGGGCCCTCATCAACGAGGCGCTGTTGCATGACGAGGTGTGGGGAGGGGGGCAGCCAAAGCCAGGGCGAGGTCCAGACATGGGGAGCGGCCCTGGGCCGCAGGGGCTGTAAAAGGCCCCAAGAAGCCCTGGCTTTCTCACCCTACCTTCCCTCAGCCTCACGACCACAAACTCTCAGACCAGCGGGAGGCCCTGAGCCGTGGCCAGAACCCTCTGCCCATCTACTGTGCTCTCAACACCAAAGAACGGAACCTGACTACTTTTGAATTTGGGGGTGAGTAGCTCCAGAACCGTGACCTGTGCTCTCACAGTTGTTGGGGTGACAGGGTGACAGGTAGCCAGGCCTGTGTGTGAAGGTGGGTGTTAACACACCCCCTTTTCTGGGCCAGGTCCCGTGCTTTCCAGAGCCTGTCATCCTATCCGAGTCACTCAGGCTTTGGGATGGGGGCAAGGGCCGTGGGTCCCACGCTCAGGGTGCCAGCAACAAGGCTGAGCCTCCTGACCACGAGGTTGCCCGACACGGGGCCCATGGTGGGTGCCTTGGTGCCCGGGGGGCCTCAGGCCGTGGGCCCCGTGGTGAGGCTGTGTGGCTCTTCACAGAGTGGTGCGAGTTCTCCCCCTATGAGGTCGGCTTTCCCAAGTACGGCGCCTTCATCCCCTCTGAGCTCTTCGGCTCCGAGTTCTTCATGGGGCGCCTGACAAAGCGGCTTCCTGAGTCCCGCATCTGCTTCCTGGAAGGTGAGCGGGTCTGGGAGGTGGGAGAAGCTAGGGTTGTGGGGAGAAGGGGCCTGGGCGCGGTGGTGGGCTCGACTGTCCCAGCTCCGTCACTGAGACATTTCCTGGTCTCAGATGGGCCGTGGGGAAGGGTGTGGTGAGGTGGGGGACTCTCTCCCACTCGGATCTCCTCCTCAGGCATCTGGAGCAACGTGTACGCAGCCAACCTCCAGGACAGCTTGTATTGGTCCTCCGAGCCCAGCCAGTTCTGGGACCGCTGGGCACAGGCTCAGGCCAGCCTGGGTAGGCGCCCGGGCTCTTCTCCAGGAAGGATGGGAGAGGCAGCCAGTGGGGCTGTATTTGGGGAGCGTGGGGTGGCTCTCTCCTCCTTTGTGAGTCCACAGAGGCTGGAATAAAGGGTCCCCATTTCCCCCGTCCTTGACTGCAGACAAGGAGCAGGTCCCCCTTCTCAATATAGAAGAGCCTCCCACAGTGGCCAGCAGGATAGCTGAGTTCTTCACTGACCTTCTGACATGGCGTCCACTTGCCCAGGCCACCCACAATTTCCTCCGTGGCCTCTCTTTCCACAAGGACTATTTCCAGCATCCTCACTTCTCTGCCTGGAAAGGTATTGCTTTTCTCCCCGGCTCCTAGCTCCCCAAACTCTTCCCATGGCCACCTAAGCCTTGGGTCCCTGGTCCAGACATCTGCACTGTCCAATCCCTTGGCCCCAATTCGTTTGAGTTCAGTTCTCTGCATGGCTTGGAGCGGGAGCGCCTTTTCCTCTCCTTACGTTGGGGTCAGGGCCCATCTGTGGAGCCTCGGGAGTTGAGGTGCTGCTTTGGCAGGAGAGGGCAGGAGCCGGATGGCAGAGCCTCCTTCTAAAGCAGCAAGGAGCTGGCATTAGGCTGGAGGGCTGGTGCCTTTAGCACCAGTGACAGCTGCTCTCCACCCGATCCCCCCCCCCCCCCCCCCCTCTCCCCCCCCCACCCGGGGCGCCCCCCCCCCCCCCCCCCCCCCCCCCCCGCCCACCTTTCCAGCCACCAAACTGGATGGCCTCCCCAACCAGCTGACACCTGCAGAACCCTTCCTTTGCCTGTTGGATGTTGGCTACTTTGTCAACACCAGCTGCCCACCCCTCCTGCGGCCCACACGGGACGTGGACCTCATCCTGTCGCTGGATTACAACCTCCATGGAGCCTTTCAGGTGGGCATCGGGCAGGCTTGGGGGGGCGAGCAATGCCAGGCCTGGCCTCAGCTGGCCCGACATTCCTGACTCTGGAGAGATCCGCTTTGGAGTCTGGTTTCTGGGACAGCTTCCCTTAGGGGCCGTGATAGCGATGCTGTGAATGAAAGGCTGTGGATTCTGTGAACTCTCCCCCAGGGGAACTTACTCTGCTCAGAAAGTTGGCGTGATGGGAAGCTGGCAGTGTTTTAAAATGTATTTTATTTTAAACGTACCTGCACCCTGTTTGGTCCTGAACCCCTGGGACTCCTTGCTTTGAGTTTCTGTGTTGGTTCCGGGAAGGATTTTGTCTCCCAGTTGCAGAACCTGGGAGTTGTTAGCAGCCCGGCTCCGTTGACACCAAAGGGGCTGCCATAGAAGGGCTGCCAGGTTTAGAACATTGACCAAGCCTGGCCTGTTGGGTCCACCAGCGTCTGGCTTGGCATCTGGGCACTCAGTCCCGCGTCTTAACAGACCTCCACGTTCAGTCAGTCCAGCGTGGAGGACACTGGGAGCCCATGGGCCCATCCCGCTGATGCCTCTTCTGCCCACCCTGCAGCAGCTGCAGATCCTGGATCGGTTCTGCCAGGAGCAGGGCCTCCCATTCCCGTCCATCTCACCCAGCCCCGAGGAGCAGCGCCAGCCCCGGGAGTGCCACCTCTTCTCGGACCCTGCCCGCCCTGACGCCCCTGCTGTGCTGCACTTCCCGCTGGCCAACGCCTCCTTCCGGGAGTACTCAGCCCCAGGTGAGCCACCATCCTCTGGAGCCCTCCTCTATCCTCCACCCAGGTGACCCCAAACCCGCCCTCCATCCCCAGTGAGGTTGCCTCCCATGGCCGGCCTGCACTCTCTCCACAGGGGTCCGGCGGACGGCCGAGGCGCAGGAGGCCGGGGAGGTGAACCTGTCTTCATCCGACTCCCCCTACCACTACTTGAAGGTGACTTACAGCCGGGAGGACACGGACAAGCTGCTCCGCCTGACGCATTACAACATCTGCAACAACCAGGAGCAGCTGCTGGAGGCCCTGCGTGAGGCCGTGCGGCGGCGCAAGCAGCGCCGGGCCGAGTGATGGGCGGGAGGGTGCCACGCCCCAGCCCCACGGCCCCTGACTTTTTCAGGCTCCCTTCTTGGCCGCCTTGCTGCTCCGGTTGAGTTGGGGTGGAGACCATCATCACCAAGTTCAGAGCCTCTGGCAGTTTGGACGGCCCAGTTGTGGTCGCCAGCCCTCTGAGGGGCTCACGAAGGTGCCCAGCACCACCCAGACGTGGCACTGATGCCACCAGCACCCCTGCCACGGACACCCTGGGGTAGTTTGAGGGTTTTAAACAGGGGCTGGGGCCTCGTCTCCATGATGTGGCAGCGGGGGTAAGTGGGGCAGTCTGGGCCAGATTTGTGTACGTACCCAAAACCCCGTGACCTGAGTGTCCTTTCCCTTCCTTGCTACCTTGAGTAGCTGTACAGAGTGAAAGTAGAGCATTTTATGTATTACAGAGGCCCGTACAAACGTGAGGCATTATGGAGATTACTGTCATTGCTTCCAAGAAGGGACAGGTCATCCCACCTCTTGGTTACCCAGGGCAAGGACTGGTTTAGGAAACAAAACCTCTCCCCAGGCACCTTATAGAGCTGGCAAGTCAGCCTGGGCTTCCCCTGAAGAGCAGGCTGTGAGCTCATGGCAGTGTCTACTCCACTCCGGCCCACTCTCTCCAAGCAGAGAGGTGGCCAGTTTAGCCTGGGGGGGTGGGTCTTGCTGCTGCAGCCCTGGCCCTGCCCAGGTGACTTGCAGGCAGTGACAGCCAGCACCCCTGTCTTCCTCACCCAGGGACTCAGGCAAAGGGCTGCTTCCTGTCCCATGACTGATAGGGGTGGGCCAGACCTGGGATCAGATGCGCCAAAGACAGACCAGTGCTAACGGCGTGACTTCAGCAAGCTCGGACCTTGGTGGGGCCTGTCTCCTAACCGTCTATTCCAGATGTTGGTCCCAGGGGTCTGATAGCTGGGTCTCCTGGTCCCCTTGAGGGTGTCCTCGCTTGTAGCCCTGAGGTTTGGTGCCACCTGCAGGTTCGCTGCCACCTGCAGGTTCGCTTCAGGGCCCAGACCTGTTGGGAGAACAGAGAGGTGGAGTGAATTTAGGGGCTAGCTTCCCCAGAATCTTCTCCAAGCACTGGTGCCCCAGGCCTCTGCACCTCCTCCTAACATTGATGTGGGGTGTGGCTACTGGGAGGCAGCTGCAGGAGGGACCATGATGTGCGGGGGGCATGGGAGATGACTGGTTCCCATGATGCAACTCACTACCTCTGTTCCCTGGGCATGCGGCTGGAGGCACAGAGCAGAAGACAGGGCTGCTCTGATGACCTTAGAAGCCACCATGTCCTGGATAAGGCCTGTTGACTCAGCACATCATCTGAGTCATAAATTGGAAGCTGTAGGTCCTGCAGGAGTGGATAATTATACCAGACACCACGACTGGCTGCCACCCCTGCTGTGATGTGATTCCTCAGGCACAAGGCTGTGTGTGGAGTCTGTGTACTGTGTCACTGGGTGTAGGTCTGTTCTGTGTGTGAACCTGTGTGTGGGTCTTGGGGTCTACGGGTGTGTGTCTGGGTGACATCCTGTCTTCCGGGCTCTCTGGGATAGTAAGGCTCCTCCCCTTGCCCCCTGGAGCAGGGACCTAGTCCTTGGACTGGGGAAAAGCTGGGAGGGTGGGGACAGGAGCAAGGGTGCAGGAGGGGCCTGGCATCCTTGCAAGCAGTGCTGCATCTTGGAGAGAGGAAGGACAGGAGAGCAAGGAGGGGGAGAGTGTGTGGGCGCCCGGGAGGCTTCCTGGTGTGTGCAAAGGGAAGCCGGGTACACTCACCGTGGGTCTGGCCTGAGCAAGACAGCCAGCGGGAGCCTCGTGCAGTTTCCTCTGCGGGAGCCCACGGGCCAAGGGTGGCTGTCGGCGCAGTCGTGTCTCCCTTGGCGAGGAGGGTGGGGGCAGCCGGGGAACCTGGGGGGAAAGGGAGCCTCAGGTCTGGACTCTGTTGTCACTGCTGAGACCGTGACAGGGTGGGGGCGGCCCCACACCTGAGCAGTGTAGTTTGAGTCCTAGGACCTTCCTTGGGCTTAAGAGGGCAGCGTCTGTGCCAGTCATGGGGGCTCTGGACTCCCGCCCACACACCCAGGTGCCCTACCTGAGCGGAGCGGCTGGGCCGAACACCCTCTCAGCAGAGCGCTCAGCTGGGAAGCCCAAGGGCCTGGCTCGGAGCTCTGGGCTCAGACCGGGGGCTGCAGAGCCAAGGAAGAACAGCGGTTAGCCTGGCCCGGGGGTTGGCCATGTGCAGCAGCAGACTCCATGCCTGCTCCTTCCTCCTTGCCATAGCTTGAAATCCTACCCCCAAGCTGATGGTATTAAGAGGAGGGGCCTTGAGGTGACTTCCTAGTCTCCAGAACTGTGAGAAGTAAGTGTCTGTTGTTCAAGTCCTACCCAGTCTGTGGTATCTTTGTTATAGCGGCCCGAACGGCCTAAGAGGCACCTGCTTCTGGCCGCTCCGCACACACCAAGTCTTACCCACGCTGAGAGGCAGCCCAGGCCCGGCGCTTGGGGGCAGGTTCCCCCAGTGCATCCGGCCTCCTGGAAGACAATGCCGGTGGGCTCAGGGAGGCTTAGCCTGGAGAAACTAAGGTCCCTTTGGGATTCTGGAAGGACAGCCTCAGGGAGATCCCAGGGGAACAGACACAGTGTAAGGAACAGAGCCAGAAACCCAGAGGGACTCCCAGGTGGGGCCCCTAAACGCTCTCTCCACACGGAGCCTGTCAGACCACAATGATGAAAGATTTCTGGTCTAAGGGGTGCTTTCTGTGTATTCCTCCTAGCAGTAGAGCTGGGCTTGGCCACTGTCTGTAAGACACCCCAAGGAAGGTGCGTTCAGAGCTGTTTGACGACTACAAGTTTAGAAAAGGCCTCATTAGCAGAGCAGAGCATGGGGAAGCCCATGAAGATCCTTGAGGGAAGGGCTCAGGGGAGTCAGACTCCAAAGTGGGTGAACAGAACTGGGAGGCTGTCAGGGCATCAAGCCTGGCTCCGCTTCTACTAATTAGCTATGTGATCTCTGGCAAGTTGCTTACCCTCTCTGGGCCTTAAATGGAGAAAAAAACTCCCACTTACCTCTCAGGCACAGAGATAGTAGATGTGAAACTTCCAAGGACGCATCCAGTGCCAGCAGCTTGGGGCCCAGGGAATCAATGCCCCTCGCGCCTGCTCCGTTCCCCAGGCTTCCCCTGGAGCCTGCCTGCCGCGCTGCTCGGGGGCTCCATGCCAGCTCTCAACCTGCCCTTCAGATGGTGCTGCAAACGGTCTCTACCGCAGGCAGCCTGCGGCCCAGTCATGAGCCCAGCTGCCTCCAGCCCCCTCAGCTGCCCTTGGGGGGCTGTGCCTGTCAAGTCAGCGTGTCTCTCCCCCGACATGGCGCTCACCTTAAGGGGAAAGTGTGTTTTCCATCTTGGTGATCCCTTGGTCTCTCACGCTGGGCTTCTGCGAGGTCAAGGGTGGCTGTGGAAGCCGCGTTCTGAGGAGAAATGAGCGGTAGAGTTTACCACGGCTGTCTCTGCTCTTCCCTGTGGGTCCTTCTTTGTCCTCTGCCCGCCCACCCACTGCCCAGTACCTTGGCTGCCATCCGCTCGTCCTGGAGCAGGCTCGGGCAGCTGCCCCCCGAGGCCCCAGGGCAGCCGTCCCTGGGGCTCACGCCGGGCTGTGGAGAGAAGGCGTGAGGCTGCACCAGCCTCGCCAAAGCCTGACTGTGTGTCTCCAGAGGCTCCCAGGGAAAGGACTGGACTGGACCAAGGTGCCCACGGGGAAGAGGGAGCCAGGGGGTAAACTTCCAGGGAACCCAGGAAGAGGAAGATGAGGGGCGCACCCCCACTTGGGCGAGGACAGAAGCTGCGAAGTGGCCCCGGGGAGCCAGACTGTCCAGTTGCCGCGGTGGGCACCACAACTCGAGCCCGCCAGGCCCCGCTGCCCTCTGAGCCCTCAAGTGGCTCTGTGGAGGGCAGCTGCTGCGGAAGCAGTTTCCGGGCATTTCCCTGGCTCCTCCCAGGCAGGACCTCCTACGTAAGCTCCAAAAGTCCCCATGGCAGGGGCACCCTTTGCATCCTGAAAATGCAAGATGGGGCCCAGGAAACATTGTGACCAGCTTAGAGGCCAGGGGCCCCCTCTGGAAGGTGGGCGAGGCATCTAACCCTCCCCAACCTCCTCATCCCTGGTGACCCCCCCCCTGGTCCCTGGTACTGCAGTGCTGGCTCGGGGTGTGGGCTTCCTACCCCGAAGGTCCCTGCCGCGCTCTCCAGGGAGACAGTGGTGGCAAAGGGTATGCGAGGCCCGACGGGGACACGTGGCTGCAGCTGTGCTGTCTCGGTCAGCTGTGCTCCGGGCCACCAGCTTCCCAAGGGCTCTGCTGGAGGGAGGTCAGCCCGCTGCCACCTCCCCCAGCTTTCAGCTCCTTCACCTGTGGCTTCTGTTCCACCTTCGGGAGGGGAGCCAGGGGAGCCAGGCCAGGGCTCTGGGGGCTCCATGCTCCAGCCTCTCCTCCCCACGTGCCTCCCACCCAGAGAGCCCCCGTGTCCTCACTGTTCTTCATCTTTTCCTGCTCCAGCTCAGGAGACTTCCCTCTCATCCCGGTGCACACAGCGCCCTAGCCTACCTGGAGATGTGGGCAACAGGACATGACAGCCAGCAAGGGAAAGAATAGGGCTTTCCTGAAGGGTCAGATGTGGGCTCAGCGCCTGGAGAGAGCCTGACTCTCGGGCTGAGACCAGGACCGCCCACCCCCATGGGCCCCCAGGCCCCTATCTCCCAGTGCACCCTCATTTCAACCTCCGCTCACCCCTGCCTTCCTCTGCAGTTGAGCAAACTTCTCCTCCTGGGCAGCCAGCAGCTTTTCTAAGTCCTGGTGTCTGTGGAGCAGCCACTCCACATCTGACACCGAGCGCTGGGGAGAAGCAAGCCAGGGTGCGGCCCAGCCCTCGGGGGTGCAGAGAGCCATTCCCTGACCCTCTGCAACCTGGCCGGGGGCCCAGGGTGCAGGGGAGCAGCAGGATCTGCCCTTGGCTGTAGCTGCCAGACGGTGCAGCCAGCTAAGGGGCAGGGCCTCGGCTCACCCTGCAGTTGGGGTCCAGCAGGAGGTCCTCCCGGCACGCCAGCCAGGCCTCAGCCTGGTCCAGCCACTGCTGCAGCTTCTGCAGATGCCAGCTCCCCTCACAGCGCTCCCAGTGCAGGGTCCAGGCCTCCCTGAGTGCCCGCGGCCGACCGTCCAGCTCCTGCAGGCACTCTGTCATCTGCGGGGACGGGGCACTGGGGGTGAGATGCTCAGGCAGAGCCACGGGGTGGGGCAGGGCTGGAGCACCCAGCAGAGGTGTCGAGGGAAGACCGTGAGGCCTGGACCCTCCCCGTCTCTGCCCCCCTCTCTCCGCCCCCTGCCTGGCCTTCTGCTCCTGCTCAGGGTTCCGAGGCCTTGGGTAACTGGGCTGTGTGCCCAGCTCAGCCCCAGACCCATCTCTGTGCTCGTACCTCCAGGGACATGAAGCGGCCATTGTCCACCGGCTGCTGCCCTTCCTGCTGTACATCCTGGGCTCTTGACGGCAGTGCCCCTTGATTTGTTGCCCCAGCTCCTCCAGCAGCTCCAGGAGCCGCTCGGTCCCAGACACATCCCCAGCCAGCTCCTCTGAGGACACCAGCCCCTGCTTCTCCTGAGCCCATGCTCTGCAGGGCAGGGAGGGGAAGCTGCTGTCAGGGCCAGGAGGGCAGACTGGGGTGGGGGGCAGGGCATGAGCTGCATAGGGAGATGGGGACTATAGCCCCCCAAAGAGCTGGGGTGACCCCCGCCCTGCAGGGCAGAGCTGAGCCAACAGCCAGGGCAGGATGCCACCTACAGCAGTTCCCGACAGCGTCCGAGGAAGGCGTGGCCCTGGGCAGCCTCCTCCAGCTGCCGACCCCGCCCCTGGACCCTGGCATTCAGGGTGGCCCAGGCCTCTTGCACCTCAGCCAGTTGCTTGGCCAGGCCCTCCTGAGCCACAGGGTGTAGCTGGCCCAGCTGGCAGGGCCCCATCTGCACCTGGGCCCCCTCCTTTTCCATCGCTGCCAGTCCCCCCTGCAGCCAGAATCAGGCCTTACCCCCTGGCAACCCGATGCCTCTGCTCCTTTTCAGGGAGCACCCATCCACTCTTGAGAAGCCCACCTCCACAGCCCGGGCATGCAGGGCCTCCCTTCCCACCTCTGGGGTCCCCTTACCCAGGGGAGGAGGTCAGACGGGCAGCCCACGGGGCATGGACCCTTACCTCCAGGCATCTGTGCTGTTGCTGCAGGGTCTGCACTGGCGCCGGGCTGCGGCCACAGGCATCTCTTGCCACCGGGGCCGCCTTCTCCTGCATCCAGCCCCGGAGCTCGGCTGCTACCTGCTCAAAGCCGCAGACCTCATGGGCCATGGCCAGGTTCTAAGAGAGGAGGGTGGGCCTGCTCCGGCCAGGGTCCTCTCTCCCTGGAGATGTAACCTTCCGGGCCACTTCCTTTTAAACAAGGAGGTCCATGGGGCTTGGTGACTCGTTCATGACCACCGGGTACAGGAAATGTCCCAGATGTGGCAGCTGCTCTGTGAATGTGTGATGTTACTGATGACGGGGTAGGTCCCTGGGGGATTCTGTGAGGAGAGGGTCTTCAGTGCCCAGCTCGTGAGACGGGCAGAGGTGGGGGCTTGGAAGCAGGTGGGAATGAGTCCACAGGAGGGAGGACGTTCTTTTGGGGGCATCTGGCTGAGATGAAGAGGGTCGCCTCAGGAGGCTGCCTGGCCAGGACGCTCAGAGGAGGTATCCCTGGGCTGCAGGCTCTGTCAGGGGCTCGGGGACCTGGACTGCTTTTCTAGAAACTACCAGCTGTGGCTGAGAGCGAAGGTCATGGAGAAACGCTGGGGATGCCCTCAGCACACAGATCCACTCAGAGCATTTAGATGAGAAGAGTGAATGGCTGGAGCGCTCTTGCCCAGTTAGTGGGTGTGGTGAAGGACAAGAGACCAACGGGGCCTGTGTCTTAATAAACCTGAAGCCTATGTTTGGAGGGGGCTTTGCGGCGGGGGGGAGGTCAGGAGCTGGCCAGACATGCTTCCTGTTTCTCCCTGGAGGTGTGAGCTGCCAGGGGGAAACCAAATCAGTGGAGAGACTCGGAGAGGGCTGGAGGTGGAAGACTGCGACTTTTGATCTGCTTGGCACTGGGAGTTGGAGGCAGCCACCTTGCTCCGCACACAGACACACAGACGCGGTGGGGCTGCCTGTCCCTGGCCCAGGCAGATTACACAGCTGCCCCAGCCCCTTGGCTGCCCCTGGCTGAGACTGAGGGCGCCTACCTGTGTGCGGGTTTTCACTGCCCGGCCCAGTCTCTCCCAAATGGCCTCGATGTGACTCCGCTGCCCTTGAATCTGGGGAGAGCGCCTGGGTGCTGCCCATTCCAAGGAGCCTGCCTGCTTCCACAGGGCCTGCACATTGGCCTGTCCCAGGCTCTGGACTTCCTTTCTGAAAGCACCGAACTTCTCTTCCAGCAGCTGCAGGGTGCAGGGCCAGGGAGGTCACTCTGGAGGTGGCATCCAGCAGCTCTCAAAGCTACTGAAGGGCTCGGCAGTATCTGCCACTCCTGACGTCCCTCGGCCCTGCCTCTAGGACCACGGGGATCCTCCCAGAGCCCCCCACTTCCTGTGTGGCCCCCTCCCCCTTCTCTGCCCTTGTGGGCCACTCAATCTACTCTCCTCCAGGTTCGCTCAGGAGTGACTCACCTTGACGGCCTCCAGGTCCTGCCTGTAGTCCTGGGACTCGGCAGTGGCCACCTTTGCTGGCCAGCCAGGCGTCCAGGAGCAGGGCTTCCCGCTCCAGTTGGTGGAGCTGCAGCTGCTCCCGAAGGCCTTTCCCCCTGCCCTCTGCTCTCTGCAACAGCCCTGAGTGGGTGTCCCTCACTGCGAGCATCAGGGCGAGCAACTTGGGGCTGCGGCAGGAAGGACAGTCCGCCTGGAGCCCTTCCTCTCCAGGCTGGACCGGCCTCGTGCCTCTGTAGGGAGAGCCCCTCCCTGCTCCTCCCTATTTGGGCCTGGCTCCAACGCACATTTCTGGGTTCTGCCCGCTCTCAAGGAGGGCTGCTGTCTGCTGCAGCCTCTCGATGCGTGTGCTGAACCCCTCCAGGTCTCTCCTGGTGGCCTCCAGCCACCGCAGAAAGGCCTGCGTGGCCTCGGCACTCTGGCCCATATGCTCAATGTCCCGTTCTTGAACACAGCCCCATTCTTCCAGCCAGGATCCTGCCTCTGGGAGCTGCGGTGACATAGAGGACAGGTTTCCCTGGGCGATGCCCTCCAGGGCTCCCAACTTTGAGTTCATGGCCTCGAGATTTAGAGCAGTGAGTGGTTCTCAACTTGGCTGATGGGGATCACCTGAGAGTTTTAACAATTGGCTATGCCTGGCTCTCACCCCTTAAGATTCTGATTTGGTCTGGAATACAGCTGAGTGTCAGCACTTCTTAAAAGTTCCAGGTGATACTGATGTGAAGCACTGATTGAGAATCATTGGTTTAGAAAAAACAGCAAAACCAAACCAAACCAAACCCAGTGGGCCGTTTCCTGGGAAACATGCTGAAGGAAGATCTTGGGGACAGGAGACAACTTAGTGGAGGTGACAGAAGATGCACAGAGACCCTGGAGCCCCACCTGGGCATTACCTTCCAGCCCTGCCTACCCTCTGGGTGTCCTCATGACCAACCCCCACCCTTTCGTGCCCCATCACACCCCCTCACCTCCATCATGAACTGCTGGGCCTCCTGAGCCTGCTGCAGCCGCTGTCGCCTCTGCGTAGCCTCTGCCTGCAGGCGGCCCACGGCATCCTCCAGCTACCGCGCCCGGGCAGCCACGTCACGGGCAGCAAAGTGCCCAGCCTGCACCAGCTCGTGCCCTGTGCCCACCGCCGCCTGGGTCAGAGCCTCAGGGCTGCTCATCTCAGTCTCCAGGTTCTGCAGAGTCGGAGGAAGACGGGGGATGCTCCTGGGTGCTCCTCGGGGAACCCAGAGTCACGTCTCAAGCCCGGTGGGATCCCACAGCTGCCCCCAGGGAGAACCCTGCCCCTGTGACCACCAAAGAATCCAGGGAGAAGCTTCCAGCCCGAGGCGACTGACGATGGCCCCGCCCCTCCCGCTGGGCCAACACCTGGCACTTCTCCTGCAGGCGCTGCAGGGCACTGGGGCTCTGGCCGCAGTCCCGAGCGGCCGTCAGGGACAGCTTCTCCCGCACCCAGGCCATCTCCTCGTCAGCGTCCTTGAAGGACTGCAGGAGGACGCTCCGGGCCTCCAGGGTTGTCCTGCGCTCCCGCAGGGGCGCCCGCTGGCTCTCAAACCTGCAGCAGTGGAGGGCGGGCCCGGGGCAGGGGGCACCCTGGTCGTCAGGATCAGGGCCACACCGTGACCTGCACACCAGCTCGCCCGCTCTGTGCCCCTCACCGTGGGCAGGGAGGGCCCCGAGGAGCCGAGCTGGGGGGCAGAGAGGAGGGACGGCTTTACCGCTGAAGCAGCCGCTGGGCCTGCTCTTCCACATCTTGGGCCAGGCAGTGGCCTTCCCAGGCAGAATGTGAGGTGGGCACGAGAGGGAGAATCTAGAGCTGCACCCAGCCCGCTCCAGGGCCGCACAGCCTCACCTCACGGGCCTCCTGTAGCTTGGCTGCCTTCCTCTGGCAGTTGGCCTGTAGCTCCTCCCAGAGTTCTCTCAGCTCCTGCAGCCGCTCCTGCATGGTCTCTGAGGATGTGAGGCCATCCCGCAGCAGCCTCTGCCCCTCCTACAGCCACAACATGGCACACACCTCATGGACTCAGGACTGCTGGTGTCAGGGCACTCGTGTTGGCTCCAACCACCAGCCCCACAGCTGCAGAGTCTGTGTGCTAGCTGTGTGATCTTGGGCAAGTTCCTTAACCTCTCTGAGCTCTTTTTCCTTATCCATGTAATGGAGATAATAATGGGTATTTTGTTTAAATGAGATCAAACATTTCAAATACTTAGCAGGGCACTTTATATCACCGAGAGGCAGCCTGGGGTCGGGGCCTGCCCTTTGCAGGTGGAAGAGGGTAAATTTAAAAGGTGCTATACTTTGACTCCTACATGAACAGGACTGCTGGCTACATACTCTGACTCTGTCCTCTGATGTCTGTCCAAGAGAGCTGTTAAAACCATCACGCCAAAACACCATCTTTAAAATTCTTGAAAAGGCACTATTTTTGGAGGGTGCCCAGGGAAGCCACTGCGTCTCATGGCCCTTTGGTGCTTAGCACGGCATCTGTATGCAGAAAGCACTCGAAGGTCGGCCATCCACGGCTGTGATTCAGAGCCAGTTGCCAGGGCTCTGTGGGGTCAACCCCTGCTCTGGCCTGTAAGCCCATCCCTGGTCCCCAAGACCTCACCGTCTGCAGCCTTTGCTGGTGGTGTACACTCGTGTCCTGCGTCTGGAGATTCTGCGGCCGCCGCAACTGTGCCTGCAGCCCGGCTGGGTCCTGCCAGCCCTCTTCCAGGACCACCAGGTTCTTCTCCCTCAGCCATGCAGCCACCTGGGCACACCGGGAGGAACAGGCCCTGCTGCCTAGGGCTCTCCTTTCCCCTAACCTCTGGGCTGCCCCGAGGAAGAGTGGTTTGTCCCGGGGGCAGCCCCTTCTCTCACCACAACCACTCCCCACGCCGGCCAACCTCGTAGGAACCCTGCAGGAAAGGCTGCAGCTGCCCGAGCTCCTCCAGCTGGTGGCGACAGGTCCTGGCTTGCTCCAGGAGTGCCTCTTTCCTGCCGGAAGGAGGGTGTCAGGGGCCTCAGGTCTGCTCACTGGGACCTGGAGCTGTTATGGGTGTGTGTGTGTGTGTGTGTGCACACGCATGCACACACACGTGCATAGGTGTGCCCTTCCAGCCCAGAACAGCCTTTCTTGTGTATCAATATACCCTGAGTCTGTCTCCTCCTGCTGGGGCTGCCAAAGGGTGTGGAGGGCAGAGGAGATGCAGAGAGTCTTGATGGAATGAAAACAGCCCCCTAGAGGATGCCAGAAGCCTGAGAGGGAGGGGGTCAAGACGGCACTGTCCTGGGGGACAGCCGGGCCTGCCAGGAACCACCTAAGGGGGCTGGGGGGGGCAGGGAGTGTTGACAGAGACCAGCAAACCAACATTTTCCATCTGTCAATCAAAGACCTCGGGTACCCAGGTGGGGCCCACCTGCAGGGAAGAGGAGGGCATGGCCGCCAGGGCACCAGCCCAGAAGCCACAAACACAGTGGGCCCTGGTGGGCTCTCTGGGAAGGACGGAGACCCCCACCAATCTGGAATCCAGCTTTTGGCCAAATCTGCCTTGATCTAAACATCTGAGGGGCTGGACGAGGCAGCTGAACCAGATGGACTTTTATGTGGAAAAAAGGCAGAGACTGGAGTCTCATAGCTGTGCCGGCTTCAGTTAAATGAGCATAAGACATATGCCAACCCCCCTGAGTGCCAGGCACCACACCGGGACATCAAGGATTCCTTTCTCATCCTGACCACAACCCTAAGGGGCAGGTATTTTTATCCCCTCACTGTAGACATGAGACTCTGTGAGGAATCTGCCCCAAGTCCCGCTGTGAGAGGGCAGCGCAGAAACTCAGCGCCGTCTGGCTAACTGCTGTGCTCTGGTATTGCCATTGCATGAGGTCATCTCTCTTGTAGTTTCTTAAGCATGTGCTTCTTTTTAAAAGTCCCCTTTATCTCAGCTGAGTGACCATGTGCTGTTTGACTCCATAACAGGTTGACACACTGCAAGGTCAGGAGCACTGGGGCCCTGGCATCTGAACTCAGCCCCTGGAAAAGCCTGGTGAGCCCAGGCTAAGGGATACAAGGGCAAGGGAAGAGCCTGATGCCTGTGCCAGCCCACCCACGGCTCCCACAGCCAGAGCCAGAGGTACCTCAGGAGCATGGCCTGGCACCGGCCCAGGGCACCCTGGGTCTCGGGCTGTCCACCCTGGTGCAGGCTGCGGGTGGAGGCTTCCAGCGCGCTGATCGCCTCCGCCTGTGCCTCCAGGTCTCGCTCATGCATCTTCTGCTTCCACAGCAGTGTTTCCACGTCAATCAAGGAGTCCTGGGAAGCGATACTGTCTACAGGGATGCCCCCTCCCAGTCCCAAGCTATCTACTTTCCTACCAGACACATCCCCCCAATCCCTCAAGGCTGTATCTGGCTTTAGGGCAGTGATTCTCAACCAGGAAAGGCATGGGGAATAAGGGTCAAGTGTTAGAATTTCCAGGGCAGGTGGAGCTCCTCCACATAACAGGGACACCCTCTCCTCTGCACTCCCAGTAAGGCTACATCAGTACAGGAAACGGCCCCTGATCATCCTCTGAGGACCCCCATGAGTCAGACTTGCCTGCCACAGGGGTTGGGACAGTTGTGGGAAAAGCAAACCTCTGGGTGTAAGGAAGTGAGGGGGGCAGAGGAGAGAAGGGTGTTGGGAAAAGGAGGCAAGAATGCATCAAGGGCCACAGGCTCACCCTCTGAGCTCCCACAGAGGGCCCAGCCCCAGATGCATAAGAACTGCCAGCGATGGACGGGTAAGCCACTGCTCAGTGACCGACGTGCTTGAGGGTCGGGAGATGCCCTTGGCCTGGGGAGCTCTGGCAGCACTGGCTGGTTTGATCTCTAATGCTGCCCTGGCAAACACTCCCTCACTCCTGCTGGGCACCTACCCTGAGACCCTCACTGGCTGGGCAGGCTTCCAGGCTGCAGAGCCAACTTTCCACCTGCTCCACAGAGCTCAGAGCCAGCTGTTGAGAAAGGAAAAGGCAAGAGGAAGTGAGCAGAGGGTCCAGTCACTGCAGGTGGAGTGACCCTGTTGGTGGCCCAGTGGGAAACCAGGGACCTGGGGCCTGGCTCAACAGAAGGAGTCCACAGCAGGCAAGATTTGCCGTGGGTGAGCTGAGTGGTAGGCGGTGGGTGGTGGTGGGAAAAGCCCCTGGCACGGCAGCCTCTCTGGCTTTGGCTCTGACGAGGGGCAGTGGGTTTAGTACAGGCCCCAGGGGTGGGGGCGGGATGGAGGCTGCTACCTGTAGCTCCAAGGCCTGATGCAGCTGGAGCTGGTGTTCCTGCCAGACCCCTTCCAGGCTGTTCAGCTCCTGGTCTAAACCAGCCGGGGCCTGGCGGATGTCGGGGGTGGATGGGTGCCCGGCGGCAAGCAGTCATTGCCCAGTGCTTCGGGCCAGGCTGATGCTGTCTGTTTGGGCATCCAGCTCGGCCTGTAAGAGGACTGGGCTCAGATCCCAGAGGCTGAAGCTTCCTGAGTGGGAGGGAAGAGGCCCAGTGGGAGGGAGGAGAGGTGGGGAAGACCACTGAGGGGGTTAGAGGGAAGAGGAGAAAGGCAGAGGTAGCCGATGCAGAAAGAACCCAAGAGAAAAGTGGGATCACAGTAAGGGGGAGGCCAGAGAGGAGGCGAGATCCCAGGAAGGGCCTCAGGGTCTGGGCCGCTCACCTTGCGATCCTGGCATTCCTCCAACATGCTCTGGACATCCGCGAGGCTGCTGGGGGTGCTCTGGGCGTCCATCTCAGCTCGCAGCCTCTGGGCCCAGATCAGCAATTCCTGCAGCGTTGCCTGCCGCTTCTGAGCTTGGTGCAAGGCATCCAGCGACTCCTTCCTGCCACAGGGTTCATCAGCTAGTCCTAGGGCCTCTGAGCCCCTTTCCCCTGCCAGTGCCTTCTGTCCCTGAATCCCCTCAGCCAAAGAAGGGCCCATGGGCTGGGAATTAATAGGGTGGCGATACAGATGGTTATTAGAAGGATGGAGAAAGACTCTTAGGGAAGGGTGGGGATTGAGACGCTGCAGGGGATGGGTCAGCAAGAGCAGTGAGGGAAAGAGGCCTGGGGGTTTGTACCGCTTCTGGGCCCCACACCAGAGCTGCCACCAGCTGCCCATCATTGCCTGCTGCTTGCGGCAAGGGTGTGGGCGGCCTCAGGGCTTCTCTGGCAGAAGCGGCCTACCTCATGCTCTACAGGCTGTGAGGGAAGCCAGGGTCAGCGGCTGGGGCAGGGAGGCAGGTGGTGCTCAGGGGAGCCCAGCCTATGGTTGTACAGCTCAGTGGACCTGGCTGGCCCTCGGTCCCAAGCACGCCCCCGCCCCGCCGCGTGCCTGCCCAGGGTCCCACGGAGGAGGTGCCTGGGCCTGAGGCCACCTCCACACCCAGCTTCACACCTCCACCTGGGCCTGGACGAGGCCTATTTCCTGCTCCAACTCCTCGTGTTTCCGCCTCAGCCTCTGCATGCTCTCCAGATCTTTCCCACAGTCCAGGGCCTGGACCAGGGTGGCCTGGGGAGAAAGGGGGCGTTATTATCAGCCTTTTCTCCAGCTCCTCCCTCACTGCAGAGGGGTCGCTGGCCACAAGGTTTCTGTGTGGGAAGCAAGCACCCAGCCTGATTCCCTTCCCAGGGCCCTCCGCGGGCTGGAGCAGGCCGCTGGCCCTGACCACAGGTCCCTTCCTTCTGGGAGGGAGGAAGGTTCCCAGGAGAGACTTGGGGCTGGAGTTTCGCTGGCGGTAGGAACCTCCACGGGTGTGCTGCTTCCACACGTATGGTCTCACTTGACCCTCGCTCCTTTGCAGGGAACTGAGATGGGCTGGCCTAGGTGAGGCAGGAACCAGAGGGGCAGTAAGAACAGAGCCCTCTGCATGCTCAGAACAGGGCGCCACGTGCTTCACAGGGGGCTTCTCAGGCCGCGTACAACTTCCCCACTCCCACCTCTGCCAGCGTCTAGGCCAGGTTTCTCTGTGGCTGCTGACACAGAGAAGGTTCTGGCCTTGCTCGGGGACAACAGAGGAAACGGTGGGGAGCGGGATGCTCTGGCCTCTGGACTCACAGTGCTTCTGGGAGAGAAAGGCGGCAGGTGGGCCAGCATCCTAGAAGCAAATGGGGGCTTCTAGGTCCGCAGTTGACCCCAAGAACGGCTGGCAGACCCTCGGATGGCCCCCTGATGGGACCTGCCTACAGGTGCCCAGCTGAAGAGGAGAGGCGGGTGAGGGGGGGACGCACTGGCTCCCTGGCTTACCTTCTCCCCGATCTGCTGAGTGAGGTCATCCAGCTTTTGGGACAACGTGTGTATCTCCAGGGCCCCTTCAAGCTGCCGCTGGTAGCAGAGCAGGTTGCCATGGAAACTGTTCCACCTGACGGAGAGGGTGTAAGGCTGAGTCTGAGGTGACCCTCCAGCTCCCTCTCCCAGCCCCACTGCTTCCGGCTCTGGGACTGGCCTGTTGTTGAGCTGCTGTCACCGTTGGCAGGTGGTGTTGAGTTGCTCAGGGTCCTGGTTCTTGGACTGCAGGGACAAGTCATTGACGCTCCTGATGTGGGCATCATCCACCGTGTCCTGTGGAGGTGCAGGGGGAGGGCATCTGTGGCACCTGCTCCGAGCCCCTTCTTTGCACTGCATCAACACTTGGAGAGTGTGCTCGGGCCTGAGAGAGCTCGAGGAACTGCACGTTTGCGGAGTGGAGGCAGCTGCTTCCCCTGCCGTGGCCATCCCATCCCATGCCAGGTGCCCTGAGCAAGATGCACCTGGGGTCTGTAGCCCAGGGTCATCTCTAAGACTAGGAAATCTGCTCCCCAGGTCGGGACGCGGCAGGAGTGGGAGGGCATGCACGCACTGATGAACAGAAGCTTTTAAAGTTAAAATGCAGCTTCTCAGGATAAGAAAAGCAAAGTAAGGGGTTGAATGAAATGGTGAGTGCCAGCCTCCTTAGGTTTGGGTGTCCCTGTCCCTGGGAGTCACTGGGCTGAGGCTGCCACAGCTTAGACACTGGGTGGGGTTCACGGCTACACGGGGCTGGGGTCCTTGACAGTGGATGGACTGCAGGTGTCCTGCCCCAGTAAAAGCCCCTTGCACTGGTCTACATTTCCAAAGCGCTTCCCAATAGGTGTCTCATAGGTGCGCAGGGAAGGGGGTTTCTCTCTTTTATAGAAGCTGGAGCAGAGCTCAGAGACTAACCTGGTGAATTTATGGCAGAGCCAGGACTCAAACCCAACTCAAGTCTATCTAACACTCTTTCTCCTACAGCATCTGGCACAGTGGCTGTGAAATTCCACCGTTAGTAAAGGCCATCTTAGATTGGAGCACTGCAGCCTTTTAAAAAAGTCATATACTTACTTCAGGGGGTGAGGTTAGCATGTCTGGGCTCTTAATACATGACTGTGAATGCACTTGGCCAATGTCTTCCCTCTATACCGCATAAGGGAAACTGATTTTGGTGTGTGTATGAGTAGGGGCTGGGGAGGGTATGCTGAATGAGAGCTCTGAGCAACTGCAGTTTATTGATCATCTACTACACCCAGGCACACATGCATTCTTGTTCTTTTAAATTTTGAAATAATCATAGATGCACAGGAAATCGCACAAGTGTATAATGAAGGCCCATGTACCCTTCCCCCAGCTTCCCCTGATGGTAACATCTTACATAACTATAGTGCCATATGAAAACCAGGACACTGACTTTGGTATAACTGTTAACTAGACTACAGACTTTATTCAGAGTTCAGCAGCTTTTACATGCATGCACCTGTGTGTGTGTGGGAAGGTATAGCTCTAGGCAGTTTTATCACATGTATAGATTCCTGTAACCACCACCATACGTATATGCTCTCTTACCTATGAGGTAAGTGGTATCCCCGTTTTAAAGATGAAGAAACTAAGGCTTGGTGAGGTGAGGGAGGCTCCCCCTGCCTCAGACCTTTCCCCTTGGCCATCCTGGTGTCCTCACTTTGGGGCAGGGTGTGGGCTGAGGGCCTGGCTGTTACCTTGGCAACAGAGGTCATGATCTCCTCATGGGCCTGGACCTCAGCCTCGAAGGCCTGGTGTTTCGGCATGTGCCTCAACTTATCTTTCAGGTCCCCAGGAGGGACTGGTTCTTTCAGCTGCTGGAGTCACTCCTGGATCCAGTCCTCGGCCTGGTGGGGTGGGGGGGACATGAATCTCATGATGCTCATGCTGCCTCGGTCCACAGAAATGTCCCACACGCCTGCGCTCAGCTGTGCCCAGGTAGCTGGCTTCTGGCCCAAGGGTGGGGCTGGGCAGTGCCTGGTAAATAAGATCCAATGGTCTGAGCCCAGGAAGACAGCCCCAGGCCCAGATGGCCCCTCAGGCACACAAAGGGGCTGGCCAGGGAGCTTGGGTGGGACCTCATTTTGGAGGTGAGGCTCACCTGCCCCGGAGCCCTGGACTTCTCTGCTCCCTCCCAATGCCTCTCTTTGCCCTGGCTCTGTGAGAGCTTAGGAAGCAGTGGGGTCTCCACATACAGGGTCTTCAAATCAAATGTCTGGGCTCCAGCATGGCCTCTGGGAAAGCCATTTAACTCTCCAAACTTTAGTATCCTCATCACAGGGCTGTGGTGAGGCCTGAATGAGCCCGTGCAGGTGGACGTCATCTGTAAACTGGAAAATGTGGCCCAAGTGGAAGGTACTGGGCTGGAGAGGCCCTCTGACCTGGAAGGCGGCCCTGATGAGGGCCGTCATCAGCAGGGAGGCGTGCAGGGTGTGTCCCCGGCTCTCCGCCACCCGAGCCCAGCGCTCTAGCAAGCTGCAGAGCAGGTTCTGCGCCCTGGGGCCCCCGAGCATCTTCACCTGCTCACACAGAGCCGCCTCCAGTGGGAGGGGTGGGGCTGGGGGGAACTCAGCTCTCGGTTCCTCATTCAGGGGAGCCCCGCCTTCAGCCCTGCATGGCCCAAGGCTGGCCGGTCCTCCCAGCAAGCCAGAACCAGCTCCCAGCTCTCCCCCCACTGCCCCCGCTCCGCTGCCCTGTGACTACCTGATCTGGAGCCATGTGGCCCCTGTGTCTCTGCAGTGTAGCCCACCCCATCCCAGGCCCTCCTGAGCCACACGTCCTACTCTGCTCAGTCAGCCCCAGCCAGGCACCCCTAGCCCCCCAGGCCACCCCCAAACATCAGCATTGCTTGTGGGTACACACCGAGCACCCCACCTTGACCACGCCCAGGATCCTCCAAACCCATTACCTTCTCGTCCTGGGCAGTCAGCACCTTCTGGAATGTCTCATGCTTGCGAATCAACTGCTCCACCTGTTCCACGGAGCTCCCCAGGGCACTGGTTCTCCGGAAGACCTGGCTCAGCCCACAGAAAAGTCAAAGGGGCCATCAGGGACTGTCCAGCCAGCCCCCCACCCCCATTTACAGCCGTCTGGGTCGAGACAGTGTACAGCCTCTGGGCTCCACATCGGGGAAAGGGCCAGAGCCCCAGGAAGCAAGAGAGCAGGTCGGGGAGAGGGCAGAGGGGAGAAGAGGGTGTGCTAGGAGGCTATGGGGTGAGGGCACCTGCCTCCCGGGCCGTGAGGGTCTCGTCCAGGCGGCCACGCTTTCTGAGGAAGAGCTGCTCCTGGTACATGGCCTGCAGCCTCTCCTGTTTCTGCTCCCAGGACTGGAACACCTGCTGCTGCTTGTCCTGCAGGACTTGCAGCCCTTCCTGGACCTGGGCATGAGCGTGTGGAGAGCCTGCACTCGGGAGAGCCGCATGGACCAGATGAAAGCGGGTCCCAAGGGCAGCCTCTGAGGAGAGGCCGGCGTGGCGCAGTGGGGTAGGGGTACAGTGATCAGGCACAGGCTCAGGCAGGGTAGGCTTGGGGGGCACCAGGAAAGGGGGGCCCACCTCCTTGATGGATGTCCCTGCAGTTTCCAAAAGTGCCTGCTGGCCCACCGGGGCAGCCTGCTGGTGCAGCTCCTCCTGGGCCTCCGGCACTGCCCGAAGCTATTGGTGGGCACTGAGCTTCAGCAGGCCACTGCCGGGCTCCTGGGAGATCTCCTCCACCTGCAGCTGCTGTCACACACAGGCGCCCAGGAGGTGCAGTCCCACACCTGGATCCCAAGGAGACGGAGGGAGGGAGTTGGGTGAGGGCTGGGCTGGGCGGCAGAGAACCAGCCTCTGAGGCACAACTGCAGCCTGCCTGGATCCATTCACACACTGAAGCGGCCCTGAGCTGTCCCAGCTCAGAGCCCAGGTGAGGTTCACGAGGCCTGTGGTCACCTCGTTGCTCCGCTGTTGTCCAACCCAATCCCCCCAGGGCTACTAAACTTCCACAGGCGCCAGGCCAGCCTCCTCCTTGCCCTGCCCATGACTTCTCTCCACCCTAGGCTTCCCCTTGCCCCTCTTGCTTAGAAGTTCTTCTCCTTCCTTCCATCCCTTCCAAGCTCACGTGTTCATCAAGGGCCAAGGCCTTCTTTGCCTTGTGAAGCCTTCCCTGCCCCCCTGCCCCCCTGACATCTCACTGCGTGCCTTGTCCTCTGAATCTCCAGTTTAATACTTACAAACACTCTTCTGTTGATTTGTGTACAAACACATGTTAGAGCTGGAGCGGCCTTGGATCCATGTCCCGACACCTCATTGCACAGATGAAGAAGGGTAAATTGCACATCGTGTGTGAGGGAGTTTTGTAACCTCCAGACGCTCACACACAGGGGGTAACAAGCTAGGGGTAAGTGCCTTGCTCGAGCCCACACTGCTAGCAAGTGGCAGAGTTGGGTCTCTAAACTCAAGCCTTTTTGCTGTGTCATAGTTTGGGTCTCCCTGTCTATCAGGCACCGGGATAAGGGGACTCCTAGGACACCCATAGCCAGGGCCCACTGTCCCAATCTGACTCTCTGGGGTTTTAGGCTCATCCCCCCCAGCTAGATAGGCTCCCTGACGGCAGTGATTCCATCTTTCACAGGCTCTATATCACCTTCTCTCCCCACTCACAGCTCCCAGCAGAGAGCTAAACACAGATGTTGAAAAGATGCCGGCTGATCCAGAGGTCACCGTCTAGGACATGCAGATCTCCAGTTCTGGGCTGTTTTTCCTCCTGAGCTCTGGCTGGGACCCCTGCCTCCTAACTGCACTGTCACTCACCTGGGCTGGTGTTGACCCAAACCTGAGGAGTCACCGCTGCATCCCCCGCACTCAGCCCTCTGCCTGGCCAGACGGACACCTGCACATGCCCAGTGCTCTTCCTCCTCGTGTCCCCACTCGTCTTCCCTCCAGGGTTGGAGGGTCTCATTAGTGCATGCACACTCACGGTACAATACACACACGCACACAGAGCCTGGGGAGGGAAGAGCCCTCACCGCTGCATGGAAGCGGGCCAGGAGCCATGCCCGCTCCAGCTGGGCCCGGCGCCGCTCCACGTGCAGCTTCAGGGCCTCCCAAGCCTGCACCAGGGCCCGCTGTCTCTGCTGCACCGCTTGGGCCTGAGGCCCGGGCCCCAGCTTCTGCACCATTCCTCCAGTCTCCAGCAGCTCCTACAGCTGGGGGCAGGATAGTAATAGGGAGGGAAGGGTCGCATCCTCCTAGAGGCTGAAGGGCCTGCCTATCCCACGGCCCCCTCCTGGGGTCCAGCCCTCCATGCACAATGGGCCTGACTGGCGGCCCTGAGAGCGGGGAAGATGGGCAGGCCTGCGGGGGAGAGGCAGCCAGACCTGGGCTCACCTGCCGCTCAGTGCCCACGAGTTCATGCTCCAGCCCCTCGTGTCTCCTCAGCTGGGCCCCCAGCCCACACAGGTCCCAGGCCACACCACAGGGGAGGCTGTGGCTTTCTCCCGAGGAAAGGAGATGGCCAAGGGGATCAGGACCGGAGGGTGGGGCGCTGATCCACTTCTAGAAAGAAGCCCCTTCCTCCTCCTGGGCTCACACCTGGACCTGGGTGAGGGAGGGCTTCCAACAGATCTCTGTGAACTTTGAGGGTGATCTCAGCGTCTCGGAGCAGGCGGCCGTGGGCCTGGGTCAGCGCCCACAGCTCCAACCAGGCAGCCCTGCGCACAGGCGTGCGGGAGACGGGCAGCAGATCAGCTATTCACCTAGCACCTCGTTCCGCCCCCTTTGCTAGGCTGGTCAGCTCTCCTGCTCTCTGGGCTGCATCCAGGACTGGCCCAAATCTCCCCTTCTTAACCCCCTCTCCTGTCTGGCCCTGGCCCTGTAGCCTCTCTTTCTAGCTTTGCTTTGAATTCAGTCTTTTGCTGTCGCCACGCTCAGCACTTAACTGATTCCTGTGCTCTTTGATGCTCCTTACATCTTGTGCCTTTGAGTCTCAATAAGTCAATCAGATTCTAATCGTTCCTCTCCATTCCTCATTTACTCAGTAAACTCTCCCTGAGCTCCTAAGGCTGGGTCAGGCTCCGCGCTAGGGGTTATGAACGAGGATGACCTTGCCTCAAAGCTCACAGGTTGGGGGAGGATCCAAACCAGCAAGTGGGCAGCTAGGCAGTGTTCCCACAGCCCCTCCTCCAAGTCCCGGGAGCCAGAGGTTTGGAAAAGTGTCCCTGGGGGTCTGGGCAGGACTCTCTGACCTGCACCCGTGGCAGGTTCGGCTTCCCTGGAAGCATCGCCCTTTCCCGACACCTCAGGTGCAGACAGAGCCAGCGTGGCCCCGGGACCACGTGCCCTCTAACAATCCAGGACCTGCCTGCCCAGCACCCTCCCCCAAACCCATGCCCTGGGTCCGCAGGGCACTCACTGCAGATCCTGCTGCATCTGACAGGCCTTGAGGGGCAGCGCTGTGCCCACATTCTAGCAGGCTCTCTGCCAGCTGCTGGCGGGTTGCCACCTGTTGGCCCCCCATCTCTACTTGGTGCTGAAACTTTGCAAACTTGGTGCAGAAGCGCTGAGGGGAGAGGGGAGTAGGTGACAGAGTGGCCCCTAGCTGGCGAGACAGCAAGCAGCCTGGGGAGTGAGGCACCTCAGTGACATCTGGACCGTGGGGGGTTGGATGGCCGCAGGGCCTGCCCACTCTTCCCAGAGGGCCTGTCCTCAGCCAGGGCTCATGACCCAGGGCCCCCTTCTCCACACAGCCCGGCCAGCCCCCTGCCCGCAGCGTTCTGCCTTGGGGCTTCCTCCCTACCCCCGGCCTCTTCTCACCAGAACGTCCTCCTCCCCAAGGCTCTCTGCTCCCCTGACTGCCTGCTTCTGGCTGGCCAGCCAGCCCTGCAGGTCCTCGGCCTCCCTGATGAACTCGTGCATCTTCAGGGTCCCCTCCAGCTCCCGGTCCCCGTGGGGATAGCCCGTGGTTCCCCAGAAGTTAGCTGCCCACCCTCCTGGGGACAGCTGGCCCAGCCAAAACAGGTGACCTGAAGGAGGAGGTTATTCATGGTCTCTGCCCAAGCCTGAGGCTCTGGATTCAGGGAGGAGTAAACATAAGAAGGCCAGGAGAGGGCAGGTGAGGGTGTGGATGTGGGGAAGAGATGGGGAGCTAGGAGCTGGGGGTCCAAGTTCCTGCCCACTAGGCCCTCACTGAGGAATTTACAGAAAGAGGGGAGCAACACACAGCAAGGAACCATCTGTCATCTCTGTGGGCCTGGGGTCACAGGCTCCTTCCAACTCGGGGTTATGGTGTGGACACAGCCAACCGTGGCTAGGCCCCCTAAACCTGGGGAGGGGTACAGCGCCCCTCACCGTGTGGCTGCCAACTCCTGCAGTGCCCGCAGCCCCTCCCGGAGCCTCTGCTGCACCACGCCCAGCTGCATAGGGGCCTCGGGGCCAGTGAGGGTTTGGGCTCTCTGGTCAAGCTCCTCTATGGAACTCCAATAAGAGCCAGTTCCTGTTGCAGGGCCTGCCAGCACGCAAAGCTCAGACTGGGTGACTCATTCATCTATTCATCTACCCACCCTCCTATCCATTCACCCATTGATCGTATACCCATTCTCTTCCTCCTCTACTCATCCACCCACCCCAACCCATCCGCTCACTCACGCACCCATCATCCACCTACCCAACAGTGATGGGGTTCCTTACTGTTCCATGAAAGTGAAGACACAGTCTGTGCCCACTATTTAGCAGGGAGGGGTGAATGATGGGTCATCTGGGCCAAGGAAGAGAGGCCATAGGGGGCATGGTACTGGCCCCAGCATCGCAGTATAAAAAATGGATGGAGGGGCTTCCCTGGTGGCGCAGTGGTTGAGAATCTGCCTGCTAATGCAGGGGACACGGGTTCGAGCCCTGGCCTGGGAGGATCCCACATGCCGCGGAGCATCTAGGCTCATGAGCCATGGCTGCTGAGCCTGCGCGTCTGGAGCCTGTGCTCCGCAACAAGAGAGGCCGCGATAGTGAGAGGCCCGCACACCACGATGAAGAGTGGCCCCCGCTTGCCACAACTAGAGAAAGCCCTCGCACAGAAACGAAGACCCAACACAGCAAAAATAAATAAATTAATTAATAAAAACCTATCCATCGGAGGAATACAAAACAATTAAAAAAAAAAAATGGATGGAGTTAAGCAAGCTGCCCAGGATGCCTGGGACGCTGAAGCTCCATGAGGCCATGGCTACAGGCACGCCCCTTAGGAATGGCTCCCTGAAAGTCCTCAGTCAGGACCCTGAAACACTGACCACTAGGGCTATGTAGACAGCAGGAAACTTCAGTGACGACAGGCACCAGGGTTGCTGTGGGGCTCAGGGCTTGTGGTTCTGAGAGACAGATTGCAGGAAGGAGGAGGGGGCTCCAGGCCTCCCTCGCTTTAATCAGGGATGCTTATGAGGTAGGTTTCAGGCACGGTGTTTGGTTAACTCAAAGCATGGTATTCAATGTGTGGGAGGAAGAAGGCAGTGGAAGGCGTGGGGAGGGCTGGAACAGGTGACCCCCCCAAGACAGGAGAAAAGTGCCAGGGGGAGGAGAAGAAGCAAGAAGAGAAGGCAGAGAAATCCTGAGGCCACGGGAGTGTGGACCACTACAGAGATGAAAGAAGGGGGATGGGCTCTTCGAAGGGGTGGTGCCTGAAGAAGGGGTGGGAAACTGTGGGTGAGCAGGGGGCCCTGCAGGATTTGGGTGGGGGTGGGGAAGGGGCTGGACAGTTGGACAGTCTTCAGGAAGAAAGAGCAGGGCTCTGTGCCTCTGAGAAGCGGGATGTGCCCTTTGGGCGTGTGACAGACCCCTTCCTCATGGTCCATCATCACCCCAGTCCAGACCACGTAGGGGATGCTCAGGACACATTACCTAGTGCTTCTTGATGAGCCTGACCATGGCTGTCTCGTCCCCGCCACAGTCCTGACTGCTCACCAGAGGCCACTTCTCCTCCACCCAGTCCTCCAGCTCTGATATGTCCAGGAAATACTATCAAGAATGGTGCCAACTCACCTTGACGATCTCAGATGGGACCCTCCATCACCCCTTGGGGACATCACGCCACTGCTCTCCAGCAGGCAGCAAAAAGAGGCTTCTTTGCCCATGGGGACCCAGCAGCTCCGGGCCCAGAGTTCTCACCACTGACCCAGCTCCCTGAGAGTTCCAGGTCCCGCCCACAGACCTCACTCGCAGAGGCTGCCTGACTTTGGCTACTTCCCCTGACCCCATGCCCTCTGCATCCTACCGCGCCTCACAGGCCTGCTCCAGCTCCGCCCAGCGGCCTTCCAGCTTCTGGCACTGCTCCACGATGTGCTGGGCCTGGGGGCGCCCTGAGGCTGCAAGGCTGCGGCCGGAACCCAGCACCCTTCACACCTGTCCCTGGTGGGCTTTCACCTCTGCGCGGAGCTCCTGCCACAGAACAGCATGAGGGGCTGTCGAATCTGGGCTTCCCTTAGCCATGGGGTGCCTAGAACAGAGCCATGGATGCAGCTCCAGGGTTCAGTCATGGCAAAACTTGCTGGCAGAGAAGGGCTGGGGGCAATTAGGCACCGCTGAGTAGCGGTGGAGGGCGTCTAGGGTCTGGGAATGGGACATCAGGGATCCTGGGAGAAAATGAGGACCATACCTCGTGCTTGCGGAGCAGACTGTGGGCGACATTCAAGTATTTCTCGGAGCCAGCGCTGGGTGCAGGCGTGTGCTCTGCCACCCAAGTGAGCTCCATGTCGCTCAGGTGGTGGAACTGGTACAGCTCAACGGAGGCCTGCAGCTGCAGTCGCCGGGCGGCCAGACATCCCTGAAGGGACTCGAACCTGGGTGGAGGGAGCAGATGGGGGATGCTGGGGACAGGTGAGGGGTAACGCTCAGTCCTTTTCTTGGCCCAGCCAGGGACCTATGAAGAAAGAGACTGGGGCTGGGGAAGCCTCATCTGATGATGGGGAGGCAGCTGGAGAGGGCCCAGACCCCAGCTGAGACAGGCTGGGACCCGGGACCCTTCGCTGCAATGCTGGCACCCGGACAAACGTCTCCTTGCGCAACGGAATACAAAGAAACTATAAGGGACTAAAAATAACTGTGTACATTTGCAGTTGGGGCAAATTCTGGACAGAAGATATAAAAAGACCAAAAAAGCCCAACTGACTTCTGAAGAGCCAAAACGAGGGCAAAAACAGGGTGTCGGGACAGAAGTAGGGTACTGCTCTTGTCCTTTGCACTTACCACCACTAGAGGGGTGGGCAAAACACCTAAGCCACCCCCCCAGCCCCATGCCTGGACACACCCCTACCTTCACCCCATATAAGGAACAAGCTCGACCCTACCGAGTGAGCAGGCAAACAGGGGAACTTGCTGTTTGTTCTCGCTTCCCCCTGCTGCAGCAAGGGCCCCAGTAAAGCCTTGCCTGAGTTTCTCGTCTGGCCTCTAGTCAATTTCTATTGACGGGAATGACTCTACTCATAAGGGAAGGAGGCTTGGACAAGCTCAGGGCCTGTAGGTGCCACCCTGCTGGGCTCCCTGGGTGAAACCACCCTCAGGTTCACATGGTGGCAATTACACACAATGGAGTGGAGACGGAGCAAGCAGGCGAGTACCTCTGGAGGTACTTTTGGGTCTCCTCCACGATGGTCTGGGTATTGACCACCTGGTGGGCCTGGGGAACGAGGGCAGCCATCTTGCCGGCCAGCGCCTGGCTCTCGGCCTCCAGCTGATGGTGCTGTCTCTGCAGCCCCCGGCTTGAGCCCAGGTCCTGCCCCATTTCTGCACTCTGCAGGGGCCCCTCTATCTGCTCCATCTTCTCCTTGGTTTCCTGGGGAGGGACGCCGGGCGCTGCATTAGGTTCTCCACATACAGGCTGGCAAGTAGCCCCTCTTGGGCTCTAAGGCTGCAGTGCTGGTAGCACACCAAATTCACCAACGGCCTTTTGGGGACCTCTCCCACTCCTAACCCGCACCTTCTCCCAGAGCCTCATGAACAGCCCCATCCCCTCACACTTCTTCCTCTCCGGGGGACTCAAGTTGTGCTGAGCATGCATGGGTACACAGGAGGCAATCCTGGATTGGCCAGTGGTGGGTAAAGCCAGGGTCAACGGGCCTAGGCCAGAGGCCTCCAAAGGCTGCAGGACTTCCCAGGGCCGCTCCAGAGTCAGCAGAACACCCCGACTCCTCCCCTCTCCTTCCCGTCCTGGCTGTTCCCAGCCCAGCCCAGCTTCAGTCTCCCTCCTGTGTCCTGCCCCTCTCTTCAGCCAACCTGCAGCAGCCCCAGGAGCTGGTCCTGCTGCCAAGCCCACCAGAGCTGCTTCCCATGCTCTGCCATTTGGCGGTTCACCTCTTCCCACTTGCTGCTCAGGCCCTGAAGCCCGGCCTGCACGTCCTCCTGGGCACGGGGCCTGCTGCTCAACAGCTCTCTCCCAACCTGCAGTGGACACAAAGGCCTGGGGCGTCTTGTTGAGCTGCTGGTACCAGGAGGGGCTGTGGTGGGCTGGGCCCAGGGGGCAGCAGTGGTGGTGGCTGGCTGCGAGCTGCATGCCACACGCCACAAGGGCTCGAGCTGTTTGCGTAGCCCTAAATCTGTAGGCAGAGGTGGGAAGGCTTTCCTCTGACGCCTGCGAACAGTGTGGGATGAGCAGGCACCAGATGGCTGGTGGGAGGGCTGCATTCAGGCAGAGGCGGCAGGCTGCCTCTTAGACCCAAGGGGAAGGGGTGACAGAAGCGTCCTGGGCTAGTTCGGGTGCCAAGACCAGGGGGTGCCTGCTGAGTGAAGGGGGAAACTGGGGGATCCTAATTCCATGGAGACTGAGGTTGATTCTTCCTTCAGTGACTGTGCTCCATGCAAAAGTGCTGTGCAGCAGAAACGAGAAGCTAAGCAGGCCCTGCACCCTCTGTCCAGTGTCCCGCACCTGCTGCAGGCCCTCCACGTGCCCCTGGGTGGCCACCAGCTCACGCTCAGCTGTTCTGTGCCACCTGGGTTTCTGCAGGATGTTGCCAGGCTCTTCGGATGGCTCGTCCGCCAGCATCTGCCACTTCTCCTCCATCCACAGCATCACCTCTGCCACGTCCTGCTTCCATTCCTACCCAGGAACCAGGGGAGAGTGGGTATCACAGAGTGGGGGTGAGGACTGGTATTTTCCTCTAGGGAAAGGGGTCTTAGGGCGCCCCGAGGGGAAGAGCAGGATGCAGAGCCAATCCCGGGGTGCAGGAGAGGTGGGACCTGGGGTTACGGCTCCCAAGAATGGACAGGGAAACCAAGATGGGGAGAAAGATGTCTCAGGGAAAACAGCAGAAAGAGGCCTGGAGAATCAGGGTCTGGCTTCACGGTGCCCTGTGCCCAGATAGGAGAAGCATCTGGCCGGGTCCCCACTGCTCCAGCCGCATCATATCATGGACGGTCCTCTGTCTCCAAACAGGCTTAAGCTCCGGGAGGCCTGCGAACTAGCCCGGCTCTGAGCCCCCATCGTGGGCAGAACAAATATCTGACAGAGTCAAGATCTGCAGCTGGAGCGCATGGCCCGTGCAAGAGCCTGGAGTGTGGCCAGAGGCCATGAGGACAGAGAGCAGCCGGCTGAGGGAGGGTGAGGGGGTTATTCAAGAGGCCAAGGCTTTGGGCCCAGCCCTGCCTTTGAGCAGTTGGCCTGAGCCTCAGTTTTCCTCATCTGGAAAAATCAGAGCCATAATGCCTATCTCACAAGGGATGCTTGGAGGTCAATGACATAACACGTGGGAGAGTGCTTTGTAAACTAGAGTGTTCCAAATAGCACACAGCTGTTAGTCCAGCAGTGGGCTCTTTAGCGTCCCTCCCAGGGAGGCCTCACGTACCTGTGCCGGCCCCTCCCCTGGAGCTGGAGGGAAGGCGGCAGCTGCCGACCCCAGGCCGCGCTCCCCTGGAGCCTGGTCCACTGTGCCTGGGCGCGCAGCAGCTGCTCTCGGACCCGGGAGGGCAGGCCAAGTGGCGGAGCATATGGGGAGGCTCCACTCTGCCTGAGGCTCACCCCGAAGGTCGGACACACCACAGCCCAGGGTGACCCCACTGTCCCCCCACTCCCCGTGCACTCTCCAAGCCTCAAGCAACGGTCTGTGTAGGCTAAGAAACCTGGACTCTGCAGGTGCTGCCCAGTCAGGCCCAGGCTCACCTGTGTTGGCTCTGAGCCAGCTTCTTGCCACGTGCCCGCAGATCCTCTGCTTGAGGGCCCAGGGCATCCAGGAGCCACTCAAACTCCTGGTGCTGCTGCAGCAGGCTCTGGGCCTTCCCCATGTCCTCCTGGAGATGCAGAGACTGGGGTCATGCCGGGAGGATGGGGGTCAGCGCCATCTCACCCACCGCCGACCCAGTGGCCTCCCGCCCAGCCTGGCTTCTAAGCTCCTACTTCCTAGGGTAGGAGCATCCCAGCTGCACACCCCGAGCTCCATACCGCGAGGCTGTCCAGCTGTACGAAGGTCTCATGGTTGGCACAGGTGGCAGTGAAAACATCCACTTCTCGACCAAACCTCTGCAACTTCAACCCCTCCTGCAGCCGCTGCTGTCTTTGCTCCCAGGCGGCCTTCAACTTCCTGCCTTGCTGGCCCAGGAGCCTCAGGGTACTGGCCGCCCCTCGGGAGTCCGGGGAGTCCAAGGCTGCCATGGGCTGGCCCTGAGCCTCCAGCTGCTGCAGCCTGTCCAGGACGACAGGCAGAGGGTGAAACCCCGTCTGCTCCCCTTGGCAACCTTCCTCCCATTTCACCTCCACGGATCATTCATCTTGGAGCTCCGATGTAAGGGTAACCAGAAGGGGTCTGAGGCTGGTGAGCCCACGGGTCCACTTGTCCTGTGGGACAGCTGTGCCCTGGGCCACTAGTGAGACACTGAATGTAACAAGCCCAGCCCAGTACTTGGGACTCATTAGTTCCCGTGCTCCCTGCATGTCACACCTTTGCTCCAGCTGGCCACGCTGATGACAATGCCCAGGCAAGTGGATGTGCTGGGGCAGCACACCCAGAAAAATCACTCAGACTGCCTACATGCCTGACTGGGGCCACCGCAAGCCTGGGTGGAGCTTGGAGCAATTAGAAAAGGCACCCACCCTTCTCTGCCAGGTTCACCCCCAGGCTCACAGCTTGGGAACAGGCGACACCTTTGTGTGAATTAGGAAAAGGCTCCACTTCTCTGAGCTGATGCAGCCCAGAAGTGGGTAGTGGAGTCTAATGAGCAGGGGATGGGCTGGATTTCAGTGCCCACTTGGCCACTCGTCAGGCTCCTTCACGTGGGGCACAGCCTGCAGACTGTACCCACCCCTGTAGGAGGAGAGGAGGCATCACCATACTAAGGAGGTGGGTGTCTTATTCCTGGGGGGTGGGGGGCTGAGCCATTTCACTCCAGGGGTCCGTGGGGTCTGCGTTACCCAGAATAGGTGGGGAGGCTTGACCACCCTGACACAGCAATCTACCAGGCTCACCTGCATGGGGTATGGCCAGGCCTAGACTAGATAGAATGTTCCAGGAAGCTCAGACTCTGCCCTAGGTCCCTCCCCAAAGTATGCAAGATGCCTGACCAGTCCTTGGTTACACCCCCTCTTTGTAAACCTGCCTGAAGCACCACTCCCCTGGGTGACTGGCCACTTCCTGCCTCTCCCTTTCCGGTATCCCGTCCCCACTGGCCGTGGCCAGCCTGAAGGGCGTCCCACCTGCCCCCCTGTCCTGACCTCTCCTGCTGCAGGTGAATCTCCTCCAGCAGGTCTCGGTGCTCCGCCAGAAGCCGCTGGGCTGAGGCCACGTCCACCACCTCCTCTTCCTCGCTGTGCAGCTGAGCCCGGAAGCCACCTGCCTGCAGTAGCCACCAGCTCCCCTGCAGGAAGCCCTGGAGGGCCTGCGCCCAGGCCCGTCAGCTCACTTGCTCCTGCACTCGCTCCAGCAGCCCCTACGGCGTCTCCACCTGTCCCTGCAGGGACTGGCTCTCTGTGGGGCCCAGCTCCTCTACCCTGTGAGACAGGGCCCACTGCCTAGTCCGGGCCCTGCCCTGGGCCCAGTGCCTGGGCCTGTGCTCCCCAGGGCCAGTGGTGGCGACTCTAAACTGGCCCCTCACCCTCCACCTAGGGGCAGCAAACACGTGTGGCTCTGCCTTTCGCCATGAGCACGTTCTCATACTGTTCCCCAGTCTGTGCCCTGCCCTTCGGACAGCACATCCTGCCCGTCCTCCCCACCTCAATTTCTGTCCTCTTCCCCGTTCCAGAACCCTGCTCAGGCCTTCACGGTGCCAAACCCAGGCCGTACTCGCTGGCTGCCCTTTGCCTCTCTCCCACGCCAGCATCTTCTGCTGGCTCACTTGCAGGACGCGGTGGCTGTCCTCTAAGTGCCCCGGCTCTGGGGTTTCTAGCTGGAGTATCATGTCTTGCAGCTGGACCCATGTGGTTCCACACTCCTGCAGAAAACTGCACACATGTGTGGTGCATGCCAGCTGTGTTTCCTTCTCTTTCTTCAGGGCCTCCAGCTGCTCCCACCTGGGCAGAGGGAGCAGGGCTGTCTCAGGGATGTCACGTCACAGGGACACCACCCCATCCGCCCTGGGGTCTTGGCCGGAGGCTCACATGACAGAAGCTGCCAGGCTGGCCACCCCCATGCCCTCTCCTCTCTGCCTCTGACAGGTCCAGTCTTTCTTCCTGGCATCTTGGGGGTCAGGTGAGCAGGCACTCAGGCCTGGGCACTGCATCCAGGCTGCACCCCTCACCTTGCACTCCCTCCTCATGCTCACCTCCAGTTCAGTTCCTCCTGCTGTTGCTGGATTTTGGGGAAATCTCCAGGACATCTCTGCTTCAGCTGCTCAGCGGAGCTGCTAACCTCAGCCCAGAGGCCTCTTCCCACAGCCAGGGCAGTGAGGAATTTCTGGGGGAAAGAGATTCCAGGCCTTGAGGGGACTTTTCTCTTCCCACACTTCCCTTAAGACTAGGAATGACCTCAGATAAGGGCTGCTACAGAGATGTTTGAGCTGCATCCCTCTGGAAGGACAGGGATCCGTGTCCTTAAAGGGCTGGGAGGGCCCTTTAAGAATTCAAGACCAGGCATCCAAATTGGACAGGAAGAAGTAAAACTGTCACTATTTGTAGATGACATGATTTTACATATAGAAAATGCTAAAGACTCCACTGAAAAACTCTTAGAACTAATAAATGAATTCAGTAAAGTAGTATACAAAATCAATATACAGAAATTTGTTGACTTTCTATACACTAATAATGAACTATCAGAAAGAGAAATTTTAAAAAGTCCCATTTACAATTACAACAAAAAGAATAAAATACCTAGGAATAAATTTAACCAAGGAGGCAAAAGATTTGTACACTGAAAACTATAAGACATTGATGAAAAAAATTGAAGAAGACACAAATAAACGGAAAGATATTTTGTGTTCATAGATTGGAAGACTAAAATTTGTATGGAACAACAAAAGATCTCAAATAGCCAAAGCAATCTTGAGAAAGAGCAAAGCTGGAGGTATCACGTACCTTGATTTCAAACTATATTACAAAGGCATAGTAATCAAAACAGTGTGGTACTGGCATAAAGACAGACACATAGCTCAATGGGGCAGATAGAGAGCCCAGAGATAAACCCATGCATCCACGGTCAATTAATTTATGACAAAGGAGCCAAGACTATACAATGGCAAAAGACAGTCCCTTCATAAATGGTGTTGGGAAAATTGGACAGCCGCCTGCAAAAGAATGAAACTGGAACATTACCTTACACTACACACAAAAATTAACACAAAATGGATTAAAGTCTTGAATGTAAGACCTGAAATCATAAAACTCCTAGAAGAAAGCATAGTGGGGTAAAAGCTCCATGACATCAGTCAGATGATGATTTTTTGGATTTGACACCAAAAGCAAAGCAACAAAAGCAAAATAAACAAGTGGTATCACATCAAACTAAAAAGCTTCTGCCTAGCAAAGGGAACCATCAACAAAATGAAAAGGCAACCTAAGGAATGGGAGAAAACATTTGCAAATCATATATCTGATAAGGGGTTAATATGCAAAACATAAAAAGAACTCACACAACTCAACTGCCAAAAAAAAAATAATAACAATATAATTTAAAACTGGTCAGAGGCTCTGAATAGACATTTTCCCAAAGAAGACATACAGATGGCCAAGAGCTACATGAAAAGATGCTCAATATCACCATCATAAGGGAAATGCAAATTAAACCCACAATGAGAGATCACCGCATACCTGTTAGAATAGCTATTATCAAAAAGACAAGAAATAACAAGTGTTGGCAAGGATGTGGAGAAAAGGGAACCCTTGTGCACTGTTGGTGTGAATGGAAATTGGTGCAACCACTATGAAAAATAGTATGGAGGTTCCTCAAAAAATTAAAAATAGAACTACCATATGATCCAGCAATTCCACTTCTGGGTATTTATCTGAAGGAAATGAAAATACTAACTCAAAAATATATATGCACCCCTATCTTCATTGCAGCGTTATTTATAATAGCCAAGATTATGGAAACAATCTAAGTGTCTATCAGTGGATGAATGAACAAAGAAAATGTGATACACACACACACGCGTGTGCGCGCATGCGTGCGCGCTTGCACTGGAATACTATTAAGCCATAAAAAAGAATGAAATCTTGCCATTCAGGACGATACGGATGGACCTTGACAGCATTATGCTAAGTGAAATAAGTCAGATGGAGAAAGACAAATACCATATGATCTTACTTGTATGTGGGATCTAAAAAAAAAAACAACAGGCTCAGAGATTCAGAGAACACATTGGTGGTTGCCAAAGGGGAGGAGTAACGAATGGGTGAAATGGGTGAAGGGAGTCAAAAGGTACAAACTTCCAGTTATAAAATAAAAAGTCATGGGGATGTAATGTACAGCATGGCAACTATAGTTAATAATACTATATTGCATATTTGAAAGCTGCTAAGAGAATAAGTCTTAAAAGTTCTCATCCCTAGAAAAATAATTCTGTAACTATGTACGTATGGTGATGACTGTTACCTAGATTTATTGTCGTGGGCATTTTGCAATAATATACAAACATCTAATTATTATGTTGTACACCTGAAATAATACAGTGTTGTATGCCAATTATACCTCAATTTAAAAACATTCAAGGCCAGCTCCCTCCCTCCCTCCTCCCAGACAGGACCACGGCTAACATGGAGCACTGAGAGTGGATAAGGGGGAGGCAGAAGCATGGTGAGGAGGGAGCAGGGCAGGAATGAAGAGGGGCGGCAGGGCCAAGCAGCTAAGAACCCCCCACCGGCTCCAAGGGGACTGTACCTCACACTTGAGCTGCATGACCTCCAAGTTGTGGCCTGGGGCTGCAGTGTTCGGAACGGCACTGTCTGGTTTGCCCGCCAGGACTGCAGCTCCCCACAGGAGCCATAGAAGCCAAACAGGGCCACCACCTCCTCCAGCCGGGCCCTGCGGTGCTGAGGAGAGGCCGGCCCAGAGGCTGGGGTGAGGGTCAGTGCCCGCCACGGGGCGCTCAGAGCAGGTCCCCCATCACCTCCCAACCAACAGAGCCCAGGGCCAGGGCCAGAAACGGTCCCTGTCCCACAGCTGGGCTCTGTGCCCTCTGTCAGAGGTGGCACAGGCTGGAGGGCCCCGGCAGAATGTGTGCTTTTGCTCCTGTCCTACTCATGTCCTTTGGCTCTTAGGTACAATCCACGCTTCTCCCATGGGATCTGACCCCACTCCCGGGCCCCCTCCTCTCCGGGCTCTCCTCTAGCCGCTCCTGGGCCTCACTGCTGTGCTCCAGGCACCCTGGCCCTCGTTCCTGCCTTTGCACAGGTCCTGCCTAGAACACTCCTCCCTGCCATCTCCCCCTGCCCTCCCCCTGGCTCACCTGCTCTCAGCTTCTCATTGTTCAAGTCTCTGCCTAAATGTCCTTCCCTCAGCGACGCCTTCCCTGACTCCCCGTTCTGACCTGGGCTCCCCTCTCACGCTCCCATCACACCCGCGTCTGTCTAATGACTTGTTTCACATCTTCTCTGCCATGATGTAAGCTCCCCAAGGTCAGGGAGCAAGTCCAGTCACTGCTCTGTCCCTGGGCTCATGGCTCAGGGTCTAGCCCCGAGTGGGTGCTCCGTGAACGTTTCTTGAACAAGGAGCGTTACCTCTGCCAGGGTCCGCAGGCCCTCATAGTCCTGGCTCAAGTGGTCCTGTGTCTGGAGGATGGTGTTGGGGTCAAAGGCAGGGTCAGGCTCATCTGGGAGGGCCATCTTCTGGGTGCCCCGGGGGCCAGAGTAGCAGGAAACCTCACGCGGGGCCCCTGGGTTCCTTGGGCCTTCTTTCGGAGAGCTCAGGGCAGACACCACCTGTGCGGACAGGACAGAGGGCAGCATGTCTCGAGGGGGCTCCCCGCAAGCAGCAGAAGGCTAGGCTGGGTGGGGCCAGTGGTTGTACCTGGGATTCTTGTTCCATGATGTGGCTGATGGGTACCTGGCCAGGCAGCACCCCCAGTCCTTCAGCTCCCAGGTGTCGGGGCTCGTCTGGCGCAGGGGCTGCAGGGTCTCTCCCGGGAGCTGGGTGAAGTGCGTCCCTGTGGGAGCACAGGTTCTGAGGGCTATCCTAGTCCTGCTCCTCTTCTTGACCCAGGAGCTGGCCAGTGGGGATGGGCGGGGGATTATTTATTACTCAGCCCTGTGCCAGGAGCCCTGGGGGCGAGAAGAGTACAAGGGTCAGAGCTTCCTGTTCAGGGCCTTACGATCTTCTCAGGCTTGTAAGCCCACAGACCTAGAGCTGATGGGACACCTCCCGGGACTGTGCACGGATAAGCAGAATGTGCATTGTGTGAAATAAATACCATGGGTGTCCAGGGTGGGGAAATGGCCAGAACAGTCTGGGGCTGTTGGGAAAGATTTCATGGACAAGGTGGGCCTCAGTGGGTCTGGCTGGGGGAGTAGGATTTGCAGAGGGGGAGGCAGAGTGGCTCTGGTGGTAGAAGATGGGGCAGAGAGGGGTGGGGAAAGCACAGGCTGGCCCTCCCGATGGGGGTGGATGAGCATCTGGTCTCTGTCCCTCTGTGCCTCTGGCCCTGGGCAAGGGTAAGACACAGCAGTGGCAGCCAGGCTGAAGAAAAGGAATAGGCACAGAGAAAGACTGGAAAGGGGAAGAAAACAAAAGAAGACTCAGAATTTCGAGCAGCTTCACATCTTTCTTTCTGCTGAGCCCAAAATGGCCTCTCTTAACTCCCTCCCTTCGGTCTTCAGATGCCCCCGAGAGCCACACAGAATAAATTTATGATGCTCTGTTAAGGTTCCTACATGGGGTCTTGGTCTTATACCTCTGTAGATGAAGCTCATCTGGACCAGAGGGCAGGGGTACTGGCTGCCCGGCAGTGCTAAAATTTGGGTCCCATCCTGAGGTCTCCCAGTCGCATCTCCATCAACTCTGCTCCAGCCTTCAGGGGGCTCCTTCTGTATGGAGGAGGGAAGGTTCTGCTTAGCTGCCAAAGTGGTTCCCCACCCCCAGGAGAGGGGGCATTTCTGTATCAACCACCCCCACTGGGCAAAGCAAGGGTCTGGAAATGCCAGAGACTAGGACTAACCTCTCTATCAATGCCAGGGCTGGCTGGGCAGTAGAGGACACAAAAGAAGGATAAGGCACCTCGCATTCATTCATTTAAACAATTAGCTCAGACTGGAGAAGGAGGCCACACAGAACAGGAGGGAGGCAATACCAAAAGCAGTGTGTGTTAATATAACTAAGTGCTGGAGTTAAACATCATAGCCACACAGGGAAGGATGGGGTAGAAACAGCCCTGGACCAGGAGTTGGGAGGCCTCTCCAGCAGCTGTGAGGGCAGTAATCTGGCCTCTGTGAACCTTGGTTACCTCATCTGTAGAGGTAACCAGACAACTGCTAACACACTGTGGATCTATTTTCAAAAATTGTTAATTATGTGGTCCAGGGAATAAATGCAAAGGAAAAGAGATAGCTCGACCTCGGCTAAATTAGAACCATAGGGTTTTCAGACCTGGTTAGTCTGGTCCTGGTGGTCAGGACCAGAACCCCAGTCAGCCCCCTCCTAAGATACGAGGACCTGAGCTGCAGCTCTGCAGGTGCACGGGACATGGCTGGGCAGAGAGAGGGCATCTGGGAAATGGAGCTTCCTTGGGATGAGGGTAGAGGGACCAAATGTGAGTACAGGGTTTGAGGGCTGTGATTTACGCATCCTGAGCTACATGTATGGCTTCTTGAAAGACAACTGCAAGCCCTCATAGGGTGGACCAAACTGCCCACCAGGTAGGTAGCTGTTTCTTTTAAAAGTGGAGGCTCGATGAACTGAGGGAGGGGGTGCAGAAAGCAGTCTGGTGTAGTGATTAGGCCACCCCAAACCTAAAAAGGCCAAGTCAGGAGAGAGAGCAAAATAGGACTGAAGGGTCACCTTAGGCCTGGTGGTGAAAGTAAAGGGACACTCCTGGAGGAAACTGATCAGTGCCTGGGAACTGGCAGGCGAAGTGAGCAACACCAAGCTACACTTCGATGGCCTCCAACCGTGAGCAGACAGGACTCCACTAACTGTGGGCGGGTCGGCAGGGGAGATGATCTGAGGAGGGGTGGGCACCTCCAAGCGCAGGGGAAGGCCAGGTCAGGGGCCACAAATGCCCTCCCATTTCCACCCTCTGTGTGACCATGGGAGAGCGGGCACAGCATGCGCATTTGGTGTCGGAGGCCCGTGGGTCTGGGTCCCTGCCCGGTCGGTCCCCGCGTACCAGGAGCGATGATGCCCCCGGGCTGCGGCCGGCGCGGGCTCGTCCAATCGCCGCAGCTCGGCCCCAAAGACGCGCACTGCCGCGCTCGAGCCGCAGGTGGCGCCACAGCAGGGCCTCAGCGGCCGCCTGGTCCTGCCCAAAGGACTTGCTCTCTGGCGCTGACCGCCGCTCCCGGAGCCACAAGGCTGCCTCCGCCACGTTGGCGAAGTACTGAGGAGGGCAGGCTGGGCACGGGCCGACCCCACACTCCCCACCCGCCGCCCAGCTACCTGCTGGACGAGCAGGGCCGCCTGCAGCCGCGCGCCCCGCCCCGCCGCCCGGGCCCAGAGCCTCCGCCACGCGCCCTGCACCACCGCGGCCCGTTCCCGGGGATCTGCCGCGATCGGGGCCCGCGTGCGCCCAGGTCGCGTCCTCTCCGAACGAGATCAGTGCACACGGCCTGGTGGCGGGCGGAGCTTGGCTTCTAGGGCCTGGCAGACAGCAGAGCAGGGAGCTGGGTGAGGGGAAGGGCGGGAAGGCAGGGAGAGGGGAACCGGCAGGGCGCAGGGTAGTGGGCACCTTGTGTTGCTGCAGGGCCGCAGCGATCTGGCTGAGATCCGGGCCCAGGGCCGCATCCTCCACCAGCTGTCCCTGCTCCCTCAACCAGGCTTCCTCCTCCTCACAGTTGTGCAGGAGCTCTGCCCGCTTCAGGGTCTGCACCAGCAAGGCCCGCCTGAGGGACAGCAAGGGCCACAGAGGGGTTCAGGGAGTGACGGGGCTTGGGGAGGGGGTTCCCCAGCAGGCTCAGACACTCCCCCTTAGACAGGAGTTTTCCTTTTCCTGGATGACTCAACAGAGGAGACAGAGGCCTTGGGGATGAGGGTCAGTGTAGAGGAAGTTGCCAGGCAGCACTGTTTTAAGCTGGGCAGGGGGTAATTTGGGTTACAGAAAAGTTCTGGAGAGGGTAGGGGAGTTCGGGTGAGCTCTTACCGGGACCTGGCAAGAGACACCAGGCTCTGGTGGAGCTGGGCCAGCACCCTGGCCTTGGCCTGCAGCACTTCCACACTAGTGCCTAGGGAAGAATCCAGCTCCATTGTCTGATGGGCAGGATGGCTCACGTGGGCACCATGGGCCAAGATCTGGGCCTCCAGCAGGTCATGCCCCTGAAGCAGCTCCACTACCTCTGCCAGCTGCTGCCCACAGGCCGTGGAGCTGGCCAGCACCTGGCCAGGGACAGATGAGTGGTCATTAAAGTCCCAGAGTGCTGGGTCCCCGTGAACGCCAGGGCTGGCACATCCTGCTGTGTTTCCCAGGGATCTGTTGGTCCAGGGCCCGCCTGCAGCTGGTTGAGCTTCTTGGAGGCAGTCTACTTCCTGCAGCAGGCTCAGCACAGCCTGCATGCCTGCCATCTGCTTCCTCTGCCCTCGCAGCCGCGGAAGGAGCCGCTTCCAGCACTGAGTGATCTCCAACTGCCTGGGGGATGTGAGAATAAGGGTGGTACCCACCGGGCTGGGGTAGGGAAGCTACCTTGGGGTCCACAGTTGCGGGGTGGGGATTGGCTGTCCTGGAGGAGCCTGAGTACCGTGACTGGAGCTGTGAGCATCCATCCAGTTGGGGCAGTATCTCCACCTTTTAGACACAGGCAGAGAAGCTGGAAGGAGGGCTTGGGAGGTTCAGGCCTTCACGGACCCCTAAGCCTTCTTTCCAGTCCTCATCTCAGGTGATAGCAACTCCATCCTTCCAGGTGCCCTGGCCAAAACCTTGATAACTCACTTTCTCACACCCCACATCTGATCTGTGTGCAGATCCTGTTGGATTCAAAATATATGCAGGATCCCACCAATTTCTCATCACCTTCACTGCTTCTCTGGTCTGGATTATTATTATCTCCTTCTGACTTTGCCCTTTCAGTCTATTCCTGACATGGCATCCAGAGTTATCATTGTAAAACGAGAGTTAGATTGTGTCACTCCTCTGCTCAAGCCCTGTCACGACTGCTTATCTTCTGCTAAGTACAAATCAAGTCTTTACTGTGTCCTGCAGGGCCCAGCAGGATCTCTGCCACCACCTCTCGCCTCCATACCTCCCTGACCTCAACTACAACTTGTTCACTTGGCCAACACTGGCTTCTGTGTTGTTTTTCAAATATGCCACGCGTGTGCCACCTTGGGACACTGCACTAGTAGAGTCTGTCCTCATATCTGTGTGGCTTCTCACTTCTTGCTGGTCTTTGCTCAAAAGTAAACCTCCTCTGACCACCCAATATAATTCCCTCCCCCCACCTTGGCACCTCATATTCCCCTATTCTGCTTTATTATTTTTTAAAATCACTATCTCACATACTATATATTTTTTCTGTTTTCCTTAGTAGTATGTAAGCTCTATGGAGGGAGGGATTTTTGTTTGTCCTCTTCACTGCTAAATCTCTAACACCTAGACTAGTACTTGGGACATAGTAGATACTCAATAAATGTTTAGTGAATGAATTAATAAGAGGCTATCTAGAAAGAACAGTGCTTTACCAAAAGGGATCAATTACAGATGGTGGAATTTCAGACATCAGTGGGAGCTAGATCTTTTTATTTTTATTTATTTAGGCCACACCTTGCGGCTGGTAGGATCTCAGTTCCCTGACCAGGGATTGAACCTTGGCCCCGGCAGTGAAAGCGCTCTTAACGACTGGATTGCCAGGGAATTCCCAGGAGTTAGATCTTTTTAAAGGGAGCCCCAAACCCATAAATCATCCCTGCCTCTGTGTCCAGGAATGGGCTGTGTAAAGACAGGGGCATGGTAGAAAGGCCCTAGCCTATTTTGAAGACCGTTCACGTGTCTGGGGCTCACCTGCAGGCCACCTCTGCCCAGCCATGGTAGTGCTCCTGCTGGAGGATGTCTGCAATCTCGGCCAGGGCCTGGAAGCACCCCTCCTGGGGCAGGAAGCCAGCCTCCAGCATGCGCAGCCTCTGGGTGGCCGCTTCCACTGTGGCCGGGCTGGCTGGCGGGGCTGCAGCCCGGTCCAGCACCTGCTCTGTGTCTGTTAGAAAGCTCTCCTGGAGGGCTGCCTTACGCTGGAAGCGCCGGCCCAGGGTTTCCAACCTCTCTAGTTGCAGGAACCTCTGCTGTAGGGCCTGGCTCCACGAGGCCTCTGCCTGCTCCAGGCTTGCCCAGCTCTGGGACAGCTCTGCAGGGCCCAGGCCCTCGTGCGGCAGGAAGTGCCTGCGATTCTGGGCTCGGAGTGCCATCTGCAGTCGGAAGAGCAGGGCCTCCGTGGCCCCTCGCTGCTGCAGCCTCGGTGGCTTCTCCTGGGTGCGGAAGGAGGCAAAGGCCACCAGCAGCTGGCGCATGCCCGGCAGGGTGTCTGGGAAATCCCGGGCCTCCAGCTGCACCGGCTTCTCCGCGATCCACCACAGGAGGTCGGCCACCAGCTGCTCACACTGGGTCTGCAGCACCTCTGTCTCCTGGAGCTGAAGCAGGATCTGGCAGAGGGCATGGGAAAGGGTCAGGGCGGCACCTGGGGGCAGGCCCTGGAATCCAGGCTCTGGAGGCCCTCCCCTTTTGGGTGCTGAGTGCCAGCCAGGCTTGCCCAGGTAGGCAGTAGCTCCTGCCCTCAGCTGAGGACACACTAAAGTGGGGTTCCTCCCAGCCCCCAGAGAAGCGGGTCTGCCGCCATTCTACACTCAGACCTGGAAGTGTGGGACCCCGTCCTGCCTTCCTCTACCTTATTTTACTCCATTTGGCCTCAACTCGGGGCGGGGGGGGGGGAGCTGTTCTTTTTCTGAGCCTTCCTTTTCTTCCCTGAGGCCGCCACACCCCTAAAGCAGCTCAGAGCCCTTGGCCTGGATCATCTCCCCCAGGCCCAGCTGAGACACCAACCCTGAGAACAGGCCTCCCAAGCCTCAGCCTTTGCCATGGTGCCCAGAGAGTAAAAGAACCCCCAGAAACATGGGCTCAGCCCAGCAGAGCTGTGCTGCGCTTGTCCTTGCAGAGTCCAGCTCTCTGAGCCTTTTAATCCCATTAGGAGCTTAGAAACCTAAGAGCAGAGGGGGAGGGGGAGAGGCAGGAAGGGGCATCTCCCACCTGGCTTTCCTGTGTGCCAGGCACTGTGCTTATGCCCCCTTGCACACTCATAGCAGCCTTCTATTACCCAGAATTAATTATCTATTGCCCAGGAATCATCATCTCCATTTTACAGATGGAGTGCAGTAAAGTTAGGTGACACAGCCAAGGCCACACAGCGAGGAAGGGGTAGAGACAGCCTTCAAACTCAGGTGTGTCTGACTCCGGAGCCCATGTTCACCCCACCTCTCCTCGATGCCACCTTCCCTTTGTTACCAACCTTCGCGAGTCTCTTCTGGACAGTCTGCCCCTGGTGCAGGTGGGAGAAGTGGTGGTAGTAGAAGGAGACGTGAGTCATGATGCAACGCTCATCGGGCTGTAGGGCCACCACGTCCTCGGGGTCCAGCAGCTGAGTGATGCCCAGCTCCTGCTCAGCCACACGGAAAGCACAGTGGAGGTGGTGCAGTGCGGGGTCGGGACGCAGGGAGCCATAGTGAAGCAGATCTGGCCTGGGCAGAGAGCAGGCAGGGCTCTTTACCAGAGTCAGTGACTGCTTGGCTTTAAGTGGACTTGTTAAAAAGGCAAACCAGCTCCTATTGGTCATTCATACCTTGCACTGCATTAGTTTCCCCCTGATGATTATCTGAGACCCCGGCTGAAGGAATAGGGCTGGGAGAGGGGAGGATTAATTTTGCTCAGGGGTCAGGCTCCTGGGTAGAGGAGGAAGCTCTAAAAGGTCAGGTGCTTGCCAGGGAGAGGACAGAAAAGAGAATCAGGGGCAGAGAGAGTGGAGGAAGGCAGGGTCAAAGGCAAACCTGGCCAATTCCATGGAAGGGGGTAGGGGTATCACAGACCGGGGCCTCAGCTGTTAGCTGTCTTTATCTCTGTGCACAGGGGCCAGAGGGACATGGGAGAATGGGTGGGTTGAGGACCCAAGTCCCGGAGCAGTTGGCTCAGTGGGTAGAGGCCTCCCAGAAGGAAGCCAAGGGCCGCCTCAGGCCAGGCCAGGGTCCAGAGGCGCTGGGGCCCCTCCCTCATGCACACCTGTGGGCGTGGATGAGGGCACTGAAGCCGAGCCCATCACTCCAGCTGCCGGAGAAGTCAGTGATATTGGCGTTGGCGTAGCCGGCCGTCTTCCGCTGGCACCAGAGCAGCAGAGCCTCCTTGGCAGACAGCAGGGCTCTGCTGGCCCCAAACTCCTCCTGGAAGGACAGGACAGCGGGTCACCATGCAGGGACAGGTGGGGTGGGACAGCAGAGCCCGCAGGCCGTGGGAGAGGCAGGCCGGGCACGCTGTGATCCTGCTCTCCCACCCGGAGCATCTGACTGTACTTGCTTTCACTCCTGCTGGGGAGGGACTGGGGGTGCGAGAGAAAGATTGTCCTTACAAAGAAGCGGAGTGCTTGAAACCTGTCACCTCTGAGCAGCTGGCTTTGAGTTGCAACTGGTGACAACAGCAGCAGTAAGTCCCGTTTCTCCAGCCTTTCTGATGGGCCAGGCACTGTGCTAACCTACCCTGGGCTGCACAGAATTGAGTCTGGGCTTCATTAGACCGGCTCCTGGTCAACACGGGTTTTCTGCCAACCAGCCACCGGCCTGCACACGTGGCTCTCCACCCAGCACAGCCCTCAGAGGTAGGCGCTATTAGTATTTACATTCTAAGGATGGCATATGAGGTGCAGTGAGAGGTCAGGAAGTTGCCCTGGGTTCCCCAGCTGATAGGGAAGGGTCTCTCTTGACCCAGAAACATCTGACAGAGCCCATCTCTGACATGGGGAGCCCACCTGTCTGCCCCCACAATGCCTCATGCGACGGCTTCTTCAGACTGGGAAATGACCATCTATAACTGGTTTCAGTCTCCTGGATACTTTCCTTTATTCTGCTACTCTTGGCTTCCACCTGCCCCCACTCCCGTCCGCATCCCTCTTCTACTCGGTGCTCCTTTCCCTTCTCCTTCCTGGCTCCACTTCTTTCCCTGCTTTCCATTCCTCGTCCCTGTCCTGCCCTCAGTGGTCCTCCCCTTCCATCCACTCCCTCCCTCGCCCCTCACACCGCAGAGTCCCCATCTCCTTTTCCCTTGACTCTTCCTCTCCTTTTCTCCCCTCTACCAACTCCTGTTTATAAACTCAGAATGTTAAAGCACAGCAGGCTGCATTTCCTGCCCTGCCCTTTGGGCCCCGGAGCTTGGGTGGGAAGGACAAGTGAGCAGCAGCGCAGGGGAGGGGAGGGGGAAAGAGTTTCAGGGCCTGGAGCTGGGCTCTGCCACAGCCAGGCCAGGTCCAGATATCCTGAGTGGCTGGGCTAGGCTAGCAGACATGAACCAGGAGAGATTCTGGGGTGAGCATGTGCGTGTGTGAGGTCAGCCGGGTGCCAGACATGTCTGAGTTTTGCAGGGAGCAGAGCCTGAGCTGGCGGCGGACAAGAGAGCCAGTTGGCTCGTTGGTGGCCAGTCAGGGGATGATGTGGACTTGCTGCTCCTAAGGGAAAGGGTGGCAGGGGCACCTGGAACTGGCCTTGGGGGCGGGGGAGGGGAGTGTGGCTTCCTGGAAGGGCTTGAGGTCAGTTAGAAATTCATCCATCCATTCATTCGCCACATACATGCTAGACTCTGGGGATGTAGGCAGGCAAGGCCCCTGCTCTCCTGGGGCTCACAGTTCCCTCGTGAGTGTAAAGGATCCTCCTGGATTTGAGCCAAATCTCTGGCTTCTTTTCATTAGGATTTCATTCTCCAGGTTTGCTTTCCTAACCTACTAGAATCAAGTTTTAGATGGGGTTTTAGAAACTATGAAAATTGACAAATATGAGGACTTTATGTGTTTACTCTTTCTGACCCAGCTGTGGGAAAACAAGAGGGAGAATGGAGGAAGATGGGGGACCATCTCTTTGGTTTTCAGGATCCTGGGGATTTGGAAACCTCCAGGGCTGGGGCTCCCTCTATATGTTTAATTTCCTCCAATAATACATTAAGGGGTAATGAAAGTTACAGGATTTCAATGCCCTGTAACAAATCGGGGGTGAAAGATGGGTGGTGGGCAGGTAACTTGACCCCCTCACTAGTGAATGACTTGTCCCAGATCAGGCTTGAAGCCTGTGAATCTAGCTCTCACTTCAGCATATCACAGTCTCTCTGACATTCTGACATCTTTGCCCGTGGTTGATGAGTGAATAGTAGTTGTGTGGATGCCAAGGATCCGTTGTGGAGATCCTAACAGTTGGGTGCAACTGCTCTGTCCCCAGGGCCCTGAGGTGAGGCCAGGGCTGGGCACTGGGGGCTGAGACATACCCTGTCCAGGGAGATGTGGGCAATCTGGAAACACAGAATGATGACCCAGATGAGTCCCAGGATGAGCATCTGGTCTCCATCCATGATGTTCTCTGGCTCAATGAGGGGTACTGGCACCTGTGGGCAAAGTTGACCGGGCTCAGCTGCAAAGCCCATATACCAGAGAAGACTCATAGTAACCAAGTGTCCAGGGGGCTGGCTGCTGGACGGGAGGGTTCTGGAGTCTGTCCTGCCCTAGGAGATCCCCAGGGGAGAGGCAGGCAGGCACAAGGCCAGGCAAGTAAAGCGTTTCTAAGTGGTTGGGGCTTTGGTCCCAAGCCCCCTTAGGGAAAGTCCCAACATGGTGAACTGGGCTGGACCACAGGAGCAGGAGGACTCCCCATCCATGGGCTACAGGTAAACCCGGGCCAGGATCAGTGGTTCAGCTAAGGAGGTTGAAATGAAGAGTTGTAAAAGTCAATGTATGAGCTCAATAGACAGCATCGACTGTCTGCCTCCACCTCCCAGGGCATCTGGGGATCTCCAGTGAGTGCTTGGGTCCCTGGCTCACATTTGAATCTCAGCCTTCTTCATCAGTGTTCCATCTCCTGTTAAACATTCAGATTCCCAAGCTCCACCCAATCAGACTCTCTTGGACCAGAGCCCAGGAACTTGTATTTGGACAGACACCTCGGTGGTTCTTATGTGCACTAATGTTGAGAACCTGCTGACCTAGATTTTGCCACTTGGACAGGAAGGGTTGAATCAAGGAGAGAAAGGAACAGAATAAACATGAAAGTCGCATGTGGCTTGGGCCCCTTCACCCTCTGGCTCCATCCTCCTCTTCCGGACCCCATGGCTCTAAGACCCATGGGATTCTTGCAGTTCCCTGAGATTCTAAGTTCAGGCCTTGGGGCTTTTGTACTGGCTATCCCTGCTGTCTGAAAATATTATTCCCCAAGAGAGTCCCATGGCTATTTCCTTCTCTTGCTTTAAGTCTTTACTCAAATGCTACTCTCTCATTGAGGCCTACCCTGGCCACCTTTTAAAAAATCTTCCCGATTTTGTGCTTAGCGATGTCGTGGTAGGGGTATGAAGGCCTCGGAAATCAGCAAATGCTACAAACCAGGGATTTCATCTGCCTCCTTCCCCTCAGCTCCCCAGCCCAGATAGCTGATTGTTAAACATTTACCAGCATATTGCTGATCTGGGTTCAAATAAACTGTCTCCCCTGAAACTGTAGGTCCCCTATGCTCAGGTCTGGGCTTTGTGACATGCAGTTCCCAGCACAGGGCAAGGGCTCCAGAAATGAGTGCACCCCACATTCTGCTACTTATTAACTGTGTGCTGGGGGCCAAAGTTTGACCATAGCTGCCTCATATATATGGTGGAGACAAGGCTGTCACCTTCATAGGTTACGTATCAGTGACATGCTGTGTCTCTAAGCTTGAGGGGAGCTGCATAGCCTCTGACAAGGGCTGTGGGGCTTGCACTGTCCCCAGGTTCCCAGGAGGAGGTGGCTGGCTCTCAGGCCATTGTCCCTGGGACCAAGTAGGGCCTGGCACTGTGTGGCCGGCAGCTTTCTGCTCTTCTGTGCACCCAGGGACCGCAGTGCTCCTGTCTGTTGCTTTGGCTTCTCACCTTCCTGGCCTCCCTTCAGCAGGCCAGGCTTGCAGGGGGGCTGGTTGTGACCTCCATTCCAGGACTTAGGCTCAGCCCAGCCAGTCCCACCTGTGACTTCTTAGCCTCCAGGGGCAGCCACCTCGTGATTTAGTACCTGAGGCCAGGAGCCCTTGGGCCTCCCAATTCCTGCTTCTCAATATAAATGACCCCTGCACAGGCCCCTGACACTGGCCGTGAGGGTCCCTCTGTGTTCCTGGAGCTCCTGTCTCCTTTTAGAGACTATTTCTTTGGCCTGTCCCTTTCTCTCAGGGTCCCTCCTGTTTGCTTAGGTCCCTCCCTGCTGTCTGGCCCAGCTTCTCCAAGGTAGCCCTGCATCTCCTCCCTCCACTGCCTGGCTCAGTATCAGAGGCTCTTCCCCTGTGTCTGACCTTCCCTCACCCCTAGGGCCCCCTATCCAGGATCTGCTGGCCAGTTGACTGTGGGTCTGCCTGGTAAATAATTTCCTTATTTATGAAAAGAGAAGGTTAAGAGTGCACTGAATCTTTCAGCTTAGACTCCACAATCTCTCATTACAGTCAATGGCATATTCCATTTCTACCCACTGGGGACGATGGCTGTTCCACTTCAGCCAGTGGGTGTTCTCTAAACTGGGAGAACTGTGCAAGGAAGGGCTTTGCTTCCTGGACCTCTGCATCGCAGCTGCTGGATCCCGGCTCCAGATCCTCTGCTCTGCCCCGTGGCCAGCCCAGGAAAGATGATCTAGTCATCCAGCCTGTCCCCGTTGCCCACCCCAGCACCACGCCCAGAAGCCCTCTCCCCAGTGCCCACCTTGGTCCTGAAGAAGGCCAGAGCTCGGATGCTGTTCTCTAGGGAGTGTATGCGCATGTGGCCCTGGTTGGGAGGTGGCAGGACCTCCCCCAAGATGAGCTCCAGCAGGCGCAGCAGGTGGGTGCCATCAGCCAGCTCTGTGTACAGGTTCTGGATCTTGATGCCCACCTGGGCATGGAGCAGGCATGGGAGAGGATGGAGAAAGTACAGGGTCAGCCTAACCCCACCTGTCTGCCCCATTCCTGGACCTGGGCTACGCAGCCCAGAGCATCTGCCTTGAGGAAGGAGCATTGGCCTCAGCTGTGTTTCGGGGTCGAAAGAAGTGGCCTCAGCCAGATGACCTCATAGTCGGTCCCCCAGGGTCCACTGGCCAGGGAGCCGGGGGGACAGTAGAGATGGGCTGTGGGGCACGCCCAGCTACACTCACCCGGCCGTGCTGGAAGATACTGTTGATCCACTTGGTGAAGTCTTCTCCTGCATCTGCAACGTGCTGTGCCTGCAGCTTGCGAATGTGGCCCACCTCATACGCAGAGTCCATGGTGGGACTGGACTGGGAGAGCGGCCCAGGGCTCTGCCCCTGGCCTCCTGCTTCACATGCCTGTAGCCCCAAGGAGCTGCTGGGGCTTGTGGGGCTGACCAGCCATCAGGCCTGGAGCTCTCTGGGGATGAGGGGCCACTGGACATTTCCCTAAGCTGGGGACGTTGGGGGCATGGAGGTCGGGGGAGGACTGTGGATACTGATGACTCCCTGGGAGTGGGGGCCCCTCCGTGCCAGACAGTCCCACATTTGGTGGGTGGTTGCAGCTTGGAACCTAGCCAGGTAAGGTCTGGTCCTTCTGGCTGGTGTCCTGAGCTTGAATGGCCCAGGGCCCCCTTTGTCCCATCCTACTTTCTAAATTCTTCTTCTAGAACTCCTGCTGCCAGAGGTTTCTCCTGGGCCACAGCGTTTGCTGCTGCTCCTTGGGACGAAAAGGGCAGGTGGAAGGAAAACAGGAAACTACTTACCTTGGTGATGTGCAGGCCCTGGGAGGAGATCTGGCTGGATGGTCGGAGATGGCAGATAGGAGGGGCTGGGCGGGGAGGGAGACATCAGGAGAGGCTGAGGCTGGAGCTGGGGCTGTGCCATGGCCCTCGTCTTGGGCCAGCAGGGCAGGGGTGACAGCACATAGCCGGCATTGTTCTCCCACCTGCCGCAGGGCGTGGCCCAGACTGGGAGGGGGCGGCTCAAGAATGTTCCAAATCAATTGCTCCAGGGTCTCCTCCTTCATCATCCCCTGTTGCAAATGCCTTCAGCATCAGGTGGGGGTCCTGGCTCCCAAGACGCAGAGGCCCCACAGGGCAGAGCCTCTGGTCAGAGCTTCTGCACCCACTTCCGGCAGGCTGGGGCTACCCTTCTGCACCCCTGCAGAGCCTCTCCGTGAGCACCCACAGGGGCGGGGATGGGAGCGAGCCCGCTGGGCCATGGCCCTCGCACCCTCTCCTGGGGGACGCACCACAGACACACCACAGGCTTGGACCAAGGCTGGGCTTTCCAGGCCCTGACGGAAATGCATCCAACCCAGCCCAGGGCTGCAGGGCGGTACTCCCTCAGGCCTGGGGCCACTTTCTGAAGGGGGTTCCCCCTGGGAAGGGGTAACCCGCAAAGTCCGTGGGAACGACAGAGCCTCCTCCAGAGTTGGAGACACGGTGTTCACTCTTTGGGGCCCCAGTGAGGCACCAGCACCTGTGCTCCCTCGGCACTGGCTAGGCCTGAGGCTCAGAGGGGGGGGCTGTGGGGGAGCCCCTCCCTCCCTCTCCCTCCCTCTCCCTCCACTCCCTCCCC